CGGCATTGGATGTGCACTCCCGTCCGTCTTACCCGTCCAAGGCTTATCCCGAACACACTTGGATTAAGGTAAGTTACTCCAACCAGAGTTCTGACTTTACAGATGCGGCCAGTGGACTCCAATATTAGTGTCTTGAGGTTTCTTAATTGAGCTACCTACGTTTCGTTTACTCGTATTGAATACGCACTGGTTGGACCAAACTGCAGAGTGGCCCACCATTCCCTTCGTTCCAAATCTTTCAACACTGAGCTCAGTACCTCATAAATGTCCACGGGTCCCATCTATTCCATTCAGAACCATTGTCATCCATTGCACGCTCATGGCCTCTTGCCAGCTGGCTGCTTGCCAGTACCCTCATACGCCGTGTACATACTGGCCGTATCGCTCTGGTCGTCTCTGCGAGTCTTCTGGTCTTCCAAATAACCGACTGCTCCGCCATCGCCGCCTCCGACGATGATCTGTCCGCCACCCTTTACCTTACCGACGACCATACCCTTTGCTACGCTCTTCAGGATTGCTCTGCGGGAAACACCTGTTACATCGATGTACACCAAGCCAACGTTCTTGAAGCCGCCGCCAATGTTCCTCGACACTTGGCCAGCCTCAGAACCCCAACGATGCTCCACCATCTGTGATACGCTGGACGAGGTGCCAGTCAACAGATTGCGTCCTGCTTGATCAATACCATCCGCAACAGTGTTGAAAGCCATCAAGCTTCTGTTCAGCAGGCCAGGCTTGTAACCCTCAATGGGGTTGCCATCCTTGTCGTAGCCTCTTCCACTGCCATCCTTCTTTCTAGCAAGGGTGGCGCCTAGGTTTTGGGCTACTTTGCCCACTGCACCAACCGTGGTCGCCGACAAACCAGCCGCCTTGGTGGAAAACTGGTTGATGCGTCGGACACGATCGTGCGCTGCAGGAGTAAACGTCACGGGTTCGGTCGTCGCCTTCGTCTTCTTTGTGAAATTGTCGGCCGAGGACTGCAAACCCTTTGTGATCAAGTCCGACGATGTCACAATGAGTCGGGATGCTTTTGAAGCATTCGACACCAAGAACGACTTCTTGTACGATGGGTGCATAATCATCTCGCGATATTCCTGCGACACGGGCTGAACGGTAATGGCTTGGCTGTTGTCGGCAGGGAGTGTAATCTCCACCGGATCTAGCATGCCATGTGAGTCAAGCTCGGCCGAGGTGCCGCCAAACTTACCTTTTGTTCCAGGCTTGACGCCCAGCTCCTCTACAACTTGATAGTTCTCGGTCAGCTCCCCAATGACACTACCGTCTTCTTCGTCAATCAAGACGATGCGACCGCCATTGTGCTGAGAGCTGTGGGCTCCAGGAGCATAGCCCTGTCCGGGCTGGTAATCGGCCGGGTTGTAGGCGGGGAGGCCATCGGCGGCGGCAGCTCTAGACTTGGCAGAGGGAGCGTCGGTGACGGGGTCATCGAAGGGGTATGCGGAGGCCGCGGCGGCGGCTTTGGCCGACTTGGACGAGGTCTTCGGCGGCGGGGCTCGCTCGAGGAACGCGGTGCATTGCGCAAGGATCGTTTCGAAGGTGTCGACGTCCTCCTGCAGTCCTTTCCGGCTACCGGTATCCGGGAACTCAATACGGGTGAAAGCACCACTGTCTGGGCCCAGATCCCATCTCGGAATCAGGTAGCTTGTTGGTGGCTGGTGGTAGATCTGGGTTGTCGCAGGAAGAGGAAGATCGAGCTCGGGAGGTAGATGGAGGTGCAAGTAGAAGTCCTCGGCGGGGGAGTCTGCGTCGGTGAAGGGTGAAGAAGTCGGTACCATCAACAGCGACAAAGTCTGGGGGCCAGCGGGTGTGAGAGACTCCTCCTTGCCATTGGAGATGTGGAAGGCTTGGACGCCGTTGATGGCATACAGGAGCTTGGGGTCCTGGTTTCAAAGTCAGTGAGGGCGGTCGCAATACTTTGTCCTTCTTGGAGGGCGTACGTTGTGTCCCGAAGCCATGGTGAAGATGGGTGCGCAAAGCAGGCGCAGAAAGTTGAGATCTTGGTTACGTCAGGTCAGGCCAGGCCTCGCACAAGATGGTTGCTCGTGGGCGGTGGTTGTCTCGAGATGCGACTGGCGCGTAATGTCGTGAAGAACTTTTTGGTGAGAGACCGCGGGGTCCAAAGAGTCTAAGGGGGTTCTGTTTGCAAGTGGGAGAGAGAGCGTTTGTTAGGATGGTTGTCGAAGCGAGATGCGCTCCGGAGGATTAAAGGTCTGGTTGGTAGGTGGAAGCCAGCGATCAGACAAAGTGACGACTGTGTAGGGGAACCGCGACAGCTATTCGCCAGCAGGAAACCTGGCCAGGAATGGCAAAAGGCGAGGGGCACTTCGGATGGTGCTCTGAGACTTTGTGACGACGAGCCGAGCTCTGTCTATTCAAGGACCGGGGGTGTAGTGAGGGCGAATATGGTTGGATTGCGGGTGTCGAAACAGCTTGCATGGCGCTTAAAACCAGCTATTGGTGGTGGTGCGCCGTGCTTTAGCTTGGTGATGGCGCTGGTGCGTGCCCGAGAGGCCTCTGGGCGGCGAGCGACGTCATTGGCCACTGTTGATACTCAAGGTGTTCCCTGTCCTTGCACCAACGACACCTTGTTGAATGGAAAACTGGACGACAAGTGACGGACCCCTTTTTCGCCCCCCCTCCACTCTCTCCAGTGGATTCGTCACTCGAGCATATTGATTGTTCAGTGTCGATTGCTTGCACAGCCACCTTGATTGCTGCAAAGGAGGCGGGGTTCCAGGTGCTTGGAGGAGGAGGAGCAAGACTTGGCAGAGAGAACCAGAGACATGGGAAGCTCTGACCACCTTTTGATGCTCCTTCCAGCGGCTGTCACACGCACTGACCCCCCCCCCCCCCCCCCCAAATGTGCTTTCTGGCGCGCCCCACCCGCTCATCGTTGATTGCAGTGACGAATACTCCCAAGTCAAAGAGAAGCAAGCAATCCATGGTGAAGGTGAAGGTGGCGGCATCAACACCTTCGACAAGGGTACAGATAGGCGCTTCACCTGATTGGTCAAGACTTCGAGATCCTCAACTGCTCGTTAGCTGTGTTGGATAAAGAAGCTCAGAGACTTGACTTACCCGTGGAGCATGTGACCCGAACCACCAACACCAGTAATGGAGAGCAGCTTCATCAAACATGAAGTGAGCCATAATGGAAACCAGACACGAGCTGAGGGGCACAGAACCTGCAGAAGACATTAGTTGCGTGTTCAGGTAACAAAGAAAAAAGGCAAGGAAGCCATACCATTGAGTTCGTGCAGATAGCTATCCTCAGACTTGGACGTAAAGACCAGGACAGATGATCGAGAAGCCTCCTCGTCCGGAAGTCCAGTCTGACCAAAGATGTTCGACGATGATGTTGACATTGACAAGTTTTCTGGAGACTGTCCGGGTGGGAACGACACCACGACAGCCAGGAAGGGCAGTCACCCTACAGCACCCGATAGACGACAAGTCTTCGTGTTCAGACCATTGACAAGAAAGTTGTTGGGATATAGCAATGGGATAGAGCAATCAGTCGGTCATCTTATGGAAGACAGACTCGTGAGTCGAGATCATGACGAACAGCTTTGGCAGTGACCTTGGACAAGCCGAATAGAAGTACAATGACTTCGTCACGGCACATGGGCCCGGTGAATGAAGATAAGCCAGTGTAGACGCCTTGGTAGATGACACCATGCCGTGAGATGCTGTGGTAGGAAGCGTCGTGATAGCAGACGGCCATGACGAAAGACGTTTTGATAGAAGACGTCGTGAAAGAAATCGTCGTGATGGAAGACTTATAATGGGAGATGCTGCTGTACGAGATGCGGTGACGGAGATGTTTGGATGAGAGACAACCACGACGGAGAGCGCTTAATGAAGGACGTCGTGATGGGGCATCCAAGCTGAGAGACGATGATGTAAAAGATGCCGTGATAGAAGGATGGTGTGATGGGAAATCTCGTGATAGGGGACAGCCATGGCAGAAGATGTTTTGGTGAAAGACGTCCTGATAGGAGATGCCGTGATGGGAGAGGCCGCCGTACAAGATGCCGTGATGCAAGATGTCGTAAGAAAACTCGTCGTCAAGAAAGCTCCCGAGAGAGCACATAATACTTAAAGTCCCCCGCTGGAGCCCAAGTACCGGGCGTCGGAGATTGTCGAAAGAAGACACTGTCGGGCGAGACACCCTCTGTGAACCACAATGGGTCCATGGGAGCAAACGTCCACCAGCACCACCCTGAGCGGCACTAGGCGTCGGCATGCCCGTCATTCCTCTCCAGATTAACAGAGAGATCTCCTTGAAGATCTGCTTCCCGGGCATGCTGATTCCTCTTTCCCCGTTCCCCAGTCCAACACGGTTCAGCTGGCATTCCTGCCTAACCTCATCCCTGTGGACGATAGGTACTCGATACCTTCCCTCGCATCGGCCATGGCAAACAGCTTCCCCATATCCTTCTGCACAGTGACGTCTCGGCCATGATCATCATTGGCAACAGAGCCTGATGGCGACGCTTCTCTGTGAAATCCTAGTAAAGGTTACCCGTAATAGAGCATTTACGTCCGTTACTGAGTGGTTCCAGTCTCGATTCACTATCCTTCATGGAAGAATATTGCTGAGAGGTTTGTCATGTCATCTCGCCCTCAGCCCTTGAAACGTTTGGAGGGCGTTGTTGCAGAAGATGTCGCTACGTGACCGTTGTTACTGAGATCAAATGCGACAGTGGAACAACAGTCTACGTATCCGACTCAAAGTAATCCTCTGTCCGATTATTGCTGCGGAACAGTATGGTTCAGCAGCAAGCGTTTTTGGCTCAGGCACGCGGTCTCATTCAATGAAGGCATGGACCCTATTACCTAAACTAGGAGAAGCTTCCCACTCCTCTTGATGTTGCTTGATCTTCTCGTTGCATTGATCCGCATGAAATATTCGCAGCCCCTCTGATCTTCCCCGTGAGTAGTGGTTGCAACCCACAAATTACACCAGGGTTAACGACTTCGGTTTTTTTTTCTTTGATCTCTTCTCTTGTAGTGTTGGTAATGTCGCTCCTTTTCCAACCTCTTTCATCTTTCGCATAATGCTCCTCCACCCGCGGCCTCCCCTTACTCGCATACCTTCACACATCCTCTACAAGTCGGCAGCGAGCGAATTTGGCTAGCGTCTGGTTTACGTGCTCCAGCACAATCAGAGCAAGTATCGATTCGAATGGATGATCATAGTAAGACTGACTGCCCGCTGAAGAACATGGGCACGAGCGACAAGATGTATATGATTAAGTGCTTCAGCTCGAGTTCCGGGTTTTCAATGCCGCGCTCTTTCTCGGCGAGTTGATGAGCGGCTATGCTAGTGCGAGCGTTGTGTATGGCCCAGTGCACGATGGGTCCGAAGATTTTCCATCCATCCAACCCATCAATGCCATCACCAACACCCTTGCCGTATCTGCGCAGGACCAACCTGTAGTTGGGCTCTTGGCCGGGCGTTGTTCCGTTCAGGACATCCAAACTGTCGATGTTCCCGTTGTTGTCACCCTGTTGCATGTCGTATTCTTCAGTACTGCCGACATCGTAGATCTTGGTGTGCTTGGACATAATGAATCCCCATGGGTCGTGGCCGAGTGTGTGCCACGGCTGTTCCTCTGCGTCGAATCGAAGCACGAGGAGCAAGAAGAAATAGTCCATGATGCCGAGGAGGACCGTTCCGTATATCTCGCAAATGATGCGCATGCATTAATTGAGGAAGTAGTAGTCTGATAGTGTGCCGTCATAAGCTTCGATGGCACTACCGACTGCGTCGAAAACCCGCCATAAGTACATTTTGTATGCGGTATGAGTGTGCTTTGCGAGTCGAAGAGTGACGAGGCGATGGGTTTTTTTTTTTTTTTTTTCGATGGTTGGTATATGTGATCGGAAGACCAGGGTGGCGAGAGGATGGTCGGTCTCCCAGGGATGGGAACATTGTCCCTTTAATAGTCCAGGAAGAGCCGGAGAAAGACCACAATCATCCATAAAGGTAGACTCACAAGAGTGGCCGAGGGATAGTCGAGGACAGTGAGTGCTGGCAAAGTGACCGGAGATGAATAGACGCTGCGGTCGCCATGGTTCAACGAAACCTGGCCAGACAGGTATCCTAGAACCATCAATATTTCAGTAATGCCGCTGTACCCCATTTCTCAAGGAAGCCGTGATTAACTAAGTAGAACCCCTCCTGTATCTGTCCCCAAAGAAAGCTTTGGCTCCTTTCGCCAAGGGCATCGTGGATCATGCGTCAATAGGTATCGTCTGGCGTTGTGACTAAAATTTGCCTTGCCTTCCTTCGTGAAGATTTCGTCGAGAAAGATCGTGGCAAGTGCCTTTCCGCCTAGGGCTTCAGTAAGGGCGGAAAGGAAACTCTTGGCGCCCTTACACGGGTGTTGAGTTGATCCGTCTCGCGGAGCATTTGGTGTAATAGGTCTGGTAGCCTTGGCTGGTGGCCTGTTTTGGTTTATTCGCTATAGAATAACCTCGGTATAGAAGAGGGCGGGAATGAACGATTTGCAAGTGCTTGCTTTCGGTCGATATGGCCCACGGCATGATCTATGTTGCCCAAGACACACAAACAGGTAAGAGACCCAGCATGCTCTCCACGACAACTTACGAGCTCGAGTATTGCTGGGCTCAAAACCCGAGATACAGGCCAATGAACGCTGTATATATGGCATCCGTAGATACGGTACATGACTACCAGCTGGGTGGGTGGATAGGTAAGTAAGTAGGTGGTCAAATTAAGCAGTCATTCAATGTAGCCGATCTGTATCAAGCTCTCTTGTACTAGCAGATACAAAGTACAACTAACGGCTTCTTTCTATGTGTATGTGTACAGGATTCTCATCCAGATGCCCAAAGTACACGCAGACAGGCACAATCTACAACATGCTATTCTAATGCATCATATCCGACTCCACGACCGGCCTCTTGATCCGCCTGACACGCCCAGATGAGAAACATCCTCAAACCCCTTTTGACTCATTTTCCACCCTCAAAAAGCTCCTCCAAATCGTTTTTCTCACCACTATGATGGACCATGTCATAAAACATGCCCCTCGCCTTATACAACTCTACCGGCCGTCCCGCCTCGACGACCCTTCCGGCCCCCATGACAACAACCGTATCATAGTCCGCAATCGTCCGCAGGCGGTGGGCAATCGTGACCAGCGTACGGTCGTCGCCGTCGCCGTCGCCATCCCCGTTAACCTCCCTCCTCAACACAGCCTGAATCCCCCTATCCGTCTCATAGTCCATGCTCGCAGTCGCCTCGTCCAGCAACATCAACCTGCTACCCCTTACCAGCGCACGGCACAGCGAAAGAACCTGGCGCTGCCCGTGGGAGAAGTTCTCACCCTTGGCATTCACCACCGTCGACAGCGCCAGCTTAGAAGAGTCATCGTCCCGCGCCACCACCGCGTCATCCGCGTCGGTATCCACATCCGAAGACGACTGATACTGGAACGACGCAATCCCCTGACACGACTCGAGCGCCCTCTCAAGCACCGGCTCCGCAATCTTGCCCGTCGGATCGAGGTTCGTCCGCAGCGTGCCGTTAAAGAGCACAGCCTCCTGCGGGATAATCGTCAGCGCCTCGCGGAGGCGGCGGCGCGGGATCTTGGTAATGTCGATGCCGTCGTAGAGGATCTGGCCCGACACGATGTGCGTGAAGCGCAGGAGGGAGAGGACGAGCGTGGATTTGCCACTGCCCGTGCGGCCGACGATGGCGACGCGCTCGCCGGCTTTGAATCGGAGGTTGACGTCTGTGAGGATGTTGGGCCCGTCTTGGTCGTAGCGGATGGTGACGTTGCGGAACTCGATTTCGCCTGTCGCGGGCCAGGTTTTGGGGATGACGTGGGTTGGGGTGTCGGTGTATTCGACTTGGCCCTCTTCGGGGTAGGATTCGTCTTCCTTTTCTTCGGTGTCGAGGCCGGCGTATTCTTTGATACGTACGAACTGTTTTGCAATGTTAGCCGGCCAGCACTTCTTACACACGCAAGACAGGGGGGCGGAAAGAGACGGAAGCAACTTACACTCTGCAGCTCAACCTCGAGATCGTTCATACTACGGACGAGACCAAGGATAGTCTGACTCAGACCAGTCGCATTGTGCAGCGAGAAACCCACCAGACCGGCGCCGACAAGGCCGGCCTTGGACACGGCAATGATACCCGCGCTCAAACCGACCAGGGCCGTGATGACATCGACGCGCATCGCAACCCACCGGTTGCAGTTGAAGTGCGCCTCCGCCGCCCTAGACCAGACGCGGAGCTTGTCGGCGAGGTTATCGCCAAAGGTATCGGGCATCCCAGCCCGCGCGCGAATAATAGGCAGACCCGCGAGGGTATCCGCAAACTGCGAAAAGATGGGCGACTGCGAGCTCGCGACGAGGCGCTTGATAGTGACGGCGGTGCGCGTGTAGATCTCGCCGACGACGAGGCCGCACGTGGACGCGACGGCGGCGGGCACGATAAAAATCGGCATGATGGAGCTAATGGCAAAGATGCGGATGACGAGGGCGAGGGAGCTCTCGAGAAAGGCGCGGAGCTGCGGGCTGACGCTGAGGTCGAGCGAGGACATGTCGCTCGAGAAGCGGTTGATGATGCGGCCGACGGGCGTCTGCTTGTACCAGCTCAGGGAGACGCGCATGACGGCGCGGATGAAGTCGTTGTGCAGCTTGCGGGCGGCGTGCCAGGCGCCGTTCTCGAAGACGAGGAAGACGGCGGCGTAGAGGACCGACTCGGTGACGGTGACGGCGGCGTAGACGCCGAGGTAGAAGGCGATGTCGACGGCCGTCTGCCTGTCGTAGGCGTCTACCCAGACCGAGAGCCAGAGGGTGCCGCCCATGACGGAGAGCTGGGAGAGGAGCATCAGGAACATGCAGAATACGGCGTAGCCTGGGCCGCCAAAGTAGGTCATGTACTTGAAGACTGTATTTCATGACGTATGTCAGCTTTGCCCCTTTGAGGGCTGTCGGGGCAACACTTACACATTAAACGGGCGCTCTTCCCGCTGGCCTTCATCTCCTGAGCCACCACATCCTTCGTCCCCTTATCGACGGCGACCTTGCTCGTGTCGTTGAGCGCATCCGTCTGCGTCTCGACTTCGGTGTCCGAGTTGTCGGAAACCTCAGTGCTGCTCTCGCCCTCAACGTCCTTCGCAGCAGCAACCGGATGGCGGGCGACACCAATATTCTGTTCGACGTGCTTGACCGCTCCGTCCTCGAGAGTAACGGCAACATCAGCCTGAGCCGCAACCCAGGGCTGCTGCGCCACCAGGACCACCGTCCGCCCCTTCAACAAGTCAGAGCAGAAACACCGCTCCCAAAGCGAGGCCGCCGTCTTGGCGTCGAGCGCCGAAAAGATGTCGTCGAGAAGCAGCAGGGGCGCCTTGGAGTACAACGCCCTAGCCAGCGCAACACGCGCCTTCTGGCCACCCGAGAGGGACGCTCCGTTTTCGCCGACGACGGTCTGGTCGCCGGCGTCCAGCTCCCGTAGGTCGACGGGGAGACAGCACGCGTTGACGACGCTGTCGTAGCGCACCGGCTCGAGGGGGCTGTTGAAGAGGATATTCTCCTTGATGGTGTCGTTTTGCAGCCACGACGTCTGCGACGCAAATGCGACGTCCTTGGGTCGCGTAATGGCACCGCCCTCCTTGACCGTCTCGCCCAGGATCGCAAGCAGCAGCGTCGTCTTGCCACTTCCGCTGACGCCCGAGACGACGTTGAGTCCGCCTTGGGCAAAGTCGATAGAAAGGTCCTTCAGTTGGAATGAGGCCGTCTTGTTACGGCGGAAGGTGGCGTCTTGCATGCGGAGGGGTCCCTCGGGGTACTCGTCCAGCGGCGTCGTGGTAGCAAAGTACCTATCGAGACGGCTGACGGCGATAGCGGCACCGGTAATCTGGCGCGACATGAAGGCGACCTGGCCGACGTTGCGGCGGATCTGCTTGACAAGGTACGTCGTCGTAAAAGCCGTAGCGGCCGTCATGGGCTGCCCGCAGACGCCGACGTAGAGGGAGAACATTGTAATCATGGAGACGTATGGCACGAGGGCGCTGATCTGGTTAAGCATGACAAACGACAGCGACACGCGCCAGAGGTCGCGCTGCTCGCTGGCGCGCGCGTCCTCGATCGTCTCGATGATGGCGTCCTCCCACGCAAAGTATTTGACGGCGCGGATGGAGGCGAGGTACTCGGAGACGAGCGAGATGCGGGCGTCCTGCGCGCGCCGGGCCTTGCGGGTCAGCCGGCCCATGAGCCGCGAAATGGTGACGGACACGGGCGCGGCGAGGAGGAGGATCAGCGTGCCCACGAGGGCGGGCCAGCCGAGCATCCTGTACAGGCCGATGCCGGAGAGGATGGTGCCCACGGGCACACCGGTCCCGGCCATGACGACGTCGCGCGCGCCAAAGATGGCTTGCACGTCGGCCGCCATGAGGTTCGCCAGACGACCGGCCGACGTCGTGGATCGCCCGGCCTCCTCTTCCTTCTTGTTCCTCTTCTTATCCTTGTCCTTGTTCTTGTCCCCTGCGCCGTCGGGCTTGGGTGCGAAAATGTCCTCCTCGAGCTCCATGGACCCCATGGCGCGGTGATACAGCTCCTGCGTCAGAGCAGACCGCAGACGCACGACCAGACGGGTCGACGTGAAGACATACTGCTGGAACAGGACAGAGCGCGACAGCGGGCCGCAGAACATGAGTACGAGCCAGAGCCAGGGCTTGATGGACGCGCCCTGAGGATCCGCGAGGTAGCCCAGGAGGTGGTACAGGCCGTACGGCGCGATGAGCTCCGAGGCGTAGGCCGAGGAGATGTAAAAGGCCATGAGGTTGACCTCCTTGCGCAGCAAATAGAACAGAGTCCACGTCGTCGTGACGCCCCTGGCCCTCGCCTTCTTCATCCGCGCGAGCAGCAGCAGCGGCTCGTCGTACCAGGGCAGCTGGGGCAGGTCCTCGAGGACGACCTCGCCGGTGCGCGCGCCCTTCCACATGACGGGCGTGAGCCACTCAAAGGTGAGGTAGTAGTTTGCCCAGCTGCACGTCTCCTCGGGCGCCGGCCCGCGCTTCTCGTAGCCCTCGGGCACAGGCACGGGCACGGGCACGGGCACGTCGTTTGCGAGCGAGGGGGGAACCCATTCTCTGGGCGTGATGACGGAGATCACCACGGCGGCGGCCAAGCTCGCGAGGCCGCCCTTGACTGGCGCCGCGACGGCGCACTCGGACGAGGCCTCGATGCAGGGCAGGGCGGAGGAGGCAGCGAAGATGAGGAGCTCGAGGCCGAGGGTGAAGTTGACCTGGTGCAGGGCGACGTGCCGCCACTCGAGGTCGTTGACGAGCCTCGAGAGGCCGAGGACGAGGGCGTAGGCGGCGACGAGGGCGTTTAGCCAGGGTGTCTGGCCGCGGGCGGCCGCGAGGGCGAGGAAGGCCAGGGTGGAGGCGCGGACGAGCTGGGCGAGGAGTTCCCAGGGCCATCTGATGCTGGCGGCGCGGACAGTGGTGGCTGTGGTGGGTTGAGATGATGATGATGATGATGATGAGGGCTTGTTGCGGCGCTGGATGAGGCGGGAGACAATCCAGAGCGCAGAGATGGCGAGGACGAGGGCTTGAGGGTATCCTGAGTCGGCGAGCTGGGTCACGTCGTTGATCCAGGGCAGTTCTGCATGGCTATCCGGGGTCTGTCAGTCCTGTTCCTTTTCAACGTCTACTCAGATACGTGGGAGCAATGGATGAGACTGGAATTGCCGACCACACGCTCTCACGCGCCATCACACATAAGAATGTGCAAAAAGCATTTGATGACATAGATCCAGTGGGCTCTGAATCGAGCCCGGAAAAGAGTTCCATAAGACTGTTCGGTCGCAGTCTTTGCATCCCACATCTAAACCCGGAACTTTTCCCCTTCCATGACCATGTGGCGGTCAAGCTTCTGTGTGGAACTCACCTCTGAGCAGTCGCCAGTAAAGTCTGGGACCGCAATCGCGCCTCAGCCGCGAGCGCGAACACTCGCTGAGGTATGAGATCCATCATCGTTGGAGGGCGCGCAGCGAAGGGGGCGCCGTTGTCAACCCCGTAGCCTCGTCTCTGTTGTGGCTCCTCGTGGTGTAGGATTCTTGAAGACTGCTGCGAGCACCGCGTGTCATGAGTGAGTTTGACGAAATGTCGTGGAAACGAAGGAGTGCGATTCACTAGGGATCTCGTCCAGTCGAGTTCCCGTTCAAACGCAGATAGGCAGCCAAGTCAGAAGCAAAGTCTACGCAAAAGAGCGAAAGTGCTACAATATATCAAAACATGTCAAGAAGGCATTCATAGTAGAAGGATAAAAGAGAATCCCGAGACGTTGTATTCGTAAGAAAGGTCGATTAGATACGGCGAGACAGGGGATCCCTAGCTTCCTAGGCTGTGCACCCGCTCTAGAGCAAATGGGAAACGGTCAATTGAGGCCTTCTACTGGGGTCCCCCCAGCTGTGGAGCCAGGCCTATTTGGATGCGTTCATCCTCATTGCTCAAATGTTCGTTCGTCCATCCTTCTGGGGGTGTGGTTTGTGACGGGAAGGGGGGCCGATTGCTGAGAATGCGGGAGTGATGACTGGTAAGAATGCTAGTAGCTAATGAGATGGGGTATCCGCGCCGTATTTGGGAGGGTCACCGGTTGCGAAAGCGGCATCCAGAGTGTTGCAATTCAACACCGACATGGATATTCCTCCCGCCCTTGGATTTGCATACATAGTACGGAGTAGGTATTAGATCCAAAGCCTGGCCCCAACTGATCGACAACGTCAGATCGAACCCCCCCAAAGCTTCTCCTGTGCACTGGCTTTCACAAGGACGCCCTTTGCGAGTTGCACTGGAAGAATCAAGTTCCAGCAATACAGCTCTCGGGCAACTTTGCCGGTCTCGGGACCGGAAAGTGGGGCATCCATATCATCATCCAAACGTCGGGGAGCGGATGCGGAATGGGGTTGCCGGCCGAAGCAGCAAGCAGCCCAGCGAATCACTGAACGCCACTCCCGTCAGTACCTACCAGGGAACCTTTGATAGTTGGTGACGGTCGAACTTGACCAAAGTCCCCAAGATACAAAGACCTAATTACCTTTTAATGTACTTTTGGTTAGCCTGCTGATAAGAAATCTCGACTGCACTGTCCCAAAGAGACTTACTTCGCTTTAAACGTATTCCTAGTTTCATGTCCATGCGGTCCAGAAGGGTAATACGGCGGGCGCCCCATCGCATCCCGTCCATCTAGTTCCCGTCCCTTGTAAAAGCTTGACATTTACAAGGAACCAAACTTCTCACTCCCCGGGAGGGCCATGTCCAGTCTGTCTCCCCTTGCTTGAAATAGACAAGCAAGTGGGAACAGAAATTCGTCCCAGGAGCATTACCGTCTCTCCAAGAGCGATATGAACGGTCTCTGACTGCCACGTAAGTACCTAACCTCATGTAACCCTCGTCTTACCTCTACTTCCCAGAGCCCTGTATTGGACTCGTACCCCGTACGTAGCCGAGTACAAAATCCTGCAATGTGCTGTCGTTGAGAAGTCCTCCCGAGAAGTATCAAAAGTGCAATTTCCTACATCAAACATGGCAACGCAGCGGCCGCCGCACCAAGTAACCCCTACCTACCTACCTACCTACACCACATTTCATTCCAAACCCCGCCTGTGAGCCTAGTTAGCTGACACCATCGGCATCAAGGGTTCTCTCGTCGCTCAAAACGGCAGGTCCAGCTCCCTTACCACCTACATCTCATTGGATCATGGCCGTCACCTCGAGAGCTCATCGGTCTTTGGGAAATCTAGACATGGCAATCATGCCATAGCATCTTTTTGGGTTGCCACCATATTCTCGCCGTTTTAGCCGTGATTTGAATCACCATCGCAGGCAAGCGATTACCATCCTTATTTCAACAATTATCAGCTAACGATAAAAGGCGAAAGAAAGAGCCCCGGTAAGATGGCAACAAAACAAGGCAAGGCCACGAGACAAGATAGGCACAAATCACATTCAAACGTTGAGACAGAATCTAATTATACGTTTGATAATCTTTGCCCCCCCCCCCCCCCCCCCCCCCCGCCGAACCTATACAAATTCTCTGAAACACAATACACACTTTGGCCTTCTGGCCGTAAGGAATCTGTTTTCGTCATATGTACTTTGTGTGCGATGATCCATCTTCCAATGGCTTCTCGCGCCTCATGGCTTTCCACGTTACGGTAGACAAAGAGACGAACAGAGAGAGACCGATAGATAGACGAGCACATACTCAACCACCAGTATAAAACGCCAAAGCCTCAACGCACCTGGTTGGACTTTTGTTTCGCCCCAGAAACTTGTTTTGACGCCGCCAGGCAATGCAATTAATGAGCGCCTCCTCCCCCGCCGTTCTTTCCTTTCCTTTCCTTTCCATTGTTTCCTCTCGTCGTGTGTCGAGAATCAACATTAGGGAACACCCGCTGTCCAAACTAAAACATTAAACGACGAAACCCCCGCGGGTTTTAGTCTGCCTTGATGGCTCTGTCACAAACGTCAGCTTCACTTCAAGGTAAATATAAAGGGGAGTAGAGGGAGGTGCTTACCCGTAAATCCTCCGAACAAACGCGTACGCGCTCAGGAACCCGACCGTCCCCGTCAAGAGACCGTACACGCAGCACGCCATGAAGCTGTAGCTGAAGAACAGCATACTGCTCACGAAGCCGGTAATGTGCAGCTTGAAAAAGTAGTACCACACGCAGTACAAGAACACCCACACGGCACTACCACCGCCGACGGCAAACGACTGCCACCACCAGCTGTAGTTCTCGGCGCACAGCCGGACGTAAATCGTCACGACCGTCACCTCGGCAATCGTCACAATCAGGATCACCGACACTACGGCCAGAAATCCAAACACGTAGTAGTAGCCGCTCTTATCCTGCCAGACGGACTGGAACACGAAGAGCAGCTCGATGAAGATGACCGCAAAGGGAATCAGCCCCGCGAGCAGGACAGACTGCCACGACTTGATGTACCACGCCTGCCTGGGCACCTGGCGGGGGGCGACGCTCGTCTTGGTCGGGTGCTCCCAGTTGCCGCTGCGGACGAAACCGAACCAGGAGCCGGCGTAGACGAGGGGCACCTGGATGCAGAGCCAGAGGAAGATGATGGCGACGAGGGTGCCGAACGGGATCGCGGTACTCGAGGCCTGCGCCCAGACGAATAGGTTGAGAATGAAGACGACGCCAAAGAGGAGACCCGGGAAGAGGACGGCGGTGACGAGCGCGTTCTTGCGGAAGTCCTGGCCGTCAAAGGTCTTGTAGACGCGCGCGGAGAAGTAGCCCGAGAAGAGGCCGGCAAAAACGAACAGGCCGACGCCGACGCTGATGAAGCCGCCGCGGAAGCTGGGGTTGAGGACGCCGAGGGCGCTCAGGAAGACGAGGCCCACGGCCATGAAGAGCAGCTGCATGCCGGACCCGACGAGCGGGGCCAGGAGGTAGCCATGATGGGGTGTCCGGAAGACGTCGGCGTGGAGCAGCTTCCAACCCGTGACGTCCTCGAGGGCCTCTTCGTCGGATGACACATCGGCGTCATTTTCGGCGTCGATGGCTCCCCCCTGGTCGAGCAGTCCGCCGGTCTTCTCCGAGAGTCTGGGGGACTTGCTTCCGGTCGTTTTCTTGCGCTTCAGCTTCGGCTTGCCGTCCTCGAGAGGCACCTCCTTGTATCCCTTGATATCGGAGCGGATCGTCCTCGCGAGGATCATCAGGACGATGCCCGTAAGCAGACCGCAGATGATGAGGGAATTGACAATAGCCAGCCAGTGGATCTTTTGGCCCTCCTCCTGGTTGACAAAGTACAGATCCCATCGGCGCGACCACTCGACGTTGTTGTCCTCTCGGAAGTAGACGGAGTAGGTGTAGGGCACGGTCAGCTTGGCGCCGTCGTCAGTGAGGTCCTCGTCGTCGTCGGCGGGGTGGTACGAGGAGTCGAGGTTCTGCTGCTGCTTCGGCGTCTCGGAAGACTTGTTCGGGGCGAGGTAGAGCTCAAAGTTCTGGTCAATGTTCTGCAAATCCGCGGGGCACCCGTCGTCGTCGCGCTTGTTGTTTGGGCCGATGCTCTTGGGGTACACCTCGAAGCCGACGACGACTTTACCGCCGCGCTCGCCGGCCTTCCCCGGGGCCTTGCGCCAGCGAACGACAATGGTGTGGTGGTTGTTGAGGAAGTAGCGCGGCTTGCCGCTGCTGGCCGAGTAATCCGTGAAGCCGAGCTTGAAGCCGGCGGCGTAGTACTTGCGACTCTTGTCGACGGTGACGAAGCTCGTGGCGCCTGGGAGGTTATCGACGATCCACTCGGTTACGTAGCCGTCGTGCACCATGTCCTTTGCGCGGCGCATATCCTTGCGGCTCATCTCGCGGTTGCACAGCAAGTTGCACGGCTTGTCCTGTCCGACGACCAGGTCAATGTCGGACGTCTTGATCCTGTCGCCGCGGAGGACCTCGCCGAGGTTCAAGGGGATGCTCTGTCCGCTGAGGAGTCCCGTGCCGGGCTTGCGCTGGCCCGTCGGCGGGCACACGAAGGGGAGGTCGTAGTAGGCATACTGCAGCTGGGTGTTGTCGGAGTAGACCTTGTTCACGAGCAGGGGTACCTGCTCGCCGTCCTTGTAGCTCTTAACCGACCAGCCTATAGTTTTATTCCGAGGTACTGTCAGCGGGCAATTGCTCGAGCGAGAGGTAGAGGTTGGAGGTCATGAGCTGGGACTTCTTTCTGAGGGCGCCGAACCTGGAATGTAGAATGCGTCGGCTGGTGCGGCGAGCAGCAGGGAGACGAGGCACCCCAAGCCGGCCTTGAGCACCTGTCGCATCGTGATATGGTAAGGTGTTTGCGAATTTGTCGCCGTCGGATTATATCCGCGTAGACCGTCTCGGCGAAGCTTGTGTAAGTGGTGAAGAGGTGTCCAGATAAGATGGGCGACCTGTCTTCTGTGGTGTTGGTGGTTGTGGTATATTCGGGGTACCTTTTCGGATTCGAGGGAATTGAAAGACGATTGAGGATAAAATTAGCCAAGTCAGGAACGCAATCAAGGTAAGACGGGTCCGGTCGCGTTCAGGTTCAGTCGAGGGTCCGTGGCTGCACGGTGTCTCTCTCCGCGCCACGCCGCCGCAAATGGGTGAGAGGGCGGAATTCAAAAATTGGATCGAACTGCGCTGCGCAGATGTCCCGAATCGAAGGATCGAAAGAGGAGGGTCTCGGGAGGTAAAAAGGTAAAAAAGGTGAGGTAAGCTGCGGTGGAAACGAGTGGAATTGGTACCAAGTACCCAAGAAGAAGTCTAAAGGTAAATAGCTAGTATCAAGCTTCAAAATCTAGAACTTCCGTCTTGTTGGGGATGACGCAAGTGAGCCCGCCGTCGGCCGTTATCGTTTTTGTTTCGAAACGGGGCGAGTTGGGATGTTGTTGGAAGTAGGTAGGTTGAGTGGCGGGAGATAATGCGCGCGGAACGGAGGGAAGAGGGACAAGAGGAATACAAGCACAAGCACACAGTCCAGATGGAAGGGGAGGGGAGGGGATGAAGAGGCAATTGGAAGAAACCGAGGACGTTGACGGGACGCAGCTGGCAGATGGAGGAGGACGGGACGGAATCGGCGGGCAATAAGACCAGTTCACAAGGGGGAGGAGATGGAAGAGCATGGGAATGAGAATGGAAATGGGAGATTCACTGGGGATTGCATTGCATGGCATGGGCACATGGGCTGCAAGCATGGGGATGGATGGTCTGGTCAGGATGGATGGGGGGGGGGGGGGGGTTCGATGATGGGCGCACGCTTCAATACCACTTTACGACCACTGAGAGGTGAAGCATCGATCAGAGAGAGGCCCGGAATAATTCATAAATTGTTTTTAATCACTCTCCTCAATGTGAGATGCCGTCTTCCAGCGTTGCATCGCGGCCATCGAGTGCCATCGCCTCGATGCAGTCCCCATCCAGCATCTGGGGGGTTCCATCTTCCCCTCTCTTCTCTTCCGTAGACACTTACGGATACCTCACCTCACCGTAGCTAACACCCATACCCCTATCCTAGTCTCTGACGGATAGGCACGCTTCCCTACGCGCTTTAGTTCCTATCTCGCGCCTGCCAAGACCACATGTCTCCCAAGCAGCACTTAAGACATCGGCGGGAAGGCTTATCGCAATTCACCAATACAATCCGTACCTTGAAATTCTTCCAACACCCCGTCACCCAATCCCACAAACGCAAGCGGTAGCACAGGCATTTCTACAGGTTAAGACCCCCTAAGAGGAGACGGGAGTGCGCCCCCAACCCCTATATCTGCCGCCGCCCGCTGTCCCGCCGCACCAATCAAGGGCTGCTGTTGGGGAAGCTAAATCCAACCGACACGAGGGGTTCACTCTTTGGGCAGGTCGCAGCCAAGATGAAAGGGGTGTCGGCGTCGTCGTCGTCACGTGTATTGTTATCCGATGTGCAATTGCGAACATTTTAATTGAATTGGATGTGCAATCGGGATTGTGGAAAAAATTCAACACCTAGTAAAACGACGAATGGCTGATTATTTGTGCACAGCTTACCTCACCTCAGAACTTGCGCATCAGCCTCATCCTCGGCTTACAAGCCTTCGACTCACGAGTCGCCGCACTAGAAACGGTGCCATGTGGAACAGACGATCGATCCTCTTAGTGTGGGCAGTTTACGGGGCTCCCCTTCCCTTAGTCAAGGTGCTATCAATAGAAACACAGGACAAACCGCTTCTGTTTGTACAAACCCTCGATGGCGATCGCTCCCTCCCTTGAATAAACAGCACCGGGAGAGTGGGCTGTTTAGACAGTGACAGGCCGGTGTTAAGACCAACAAGATATCGTCATCTTCCCCATTCCCAATGTCACGGAGGAATCGCATGCACTGATGCAGCTTGTCAGGTCATGCGCAGTGCCAGCTTGTGCCGGATAATCACCCCCACCTTTCCTCCTCCTCCTCCTCCTCCTCCCCCCAAATCCCCTCATTTGCCCAGTGAGTGCCCAGCCACTGGCAGTGACCTTCCAGTCCGAGCTTCTTGGGAAAAAAAAAAGTTGATCATCATGCTGGGCGTCCGGGGACAAGAAGCAGGAAAAAAGCGGGATACCAGCAAAACTCCACCGCAATCTTAAGTCTAGAAGCAAGAGGGGGGAAGTGGAAAAACAAAATCAACGGGCCTAGAACTTTCTGGGTTTTCCGGCACCTTTCTCCCGTCTTTCGTCTCCACCTTTCCTCCGGCCCCGGCTCCTTTGGGTGCCGGCCCCTTCAACTCCCGTCCCATCATCCCGTCTCCGGAGTGCCAGACACTGCCCCGGGCCGCCTTCTCTTGGCAATTCCAGTTCAGAGACGGATCCGGCCACTGATTACGGATTGTACGGCCCATGTCCAACATGCCGTGTGGGGTCAAGCATCATTCGAATCCGACTTAAACTAGGCTCTAGACGCTTGGGTCGGTGCCTCACTTCCATCAAATTTCTTGTACTAGGTGGTTCATCTTTTGTACGCGGGAGAACACAAGCTTCTTCCTGTGTAAGATTCAGTGCCAAGGTAAGTAGGCAGGCTTCATCAGGTTGTATAACGGAACAGTCGACTCGGCAAGATCACACACGAGCCCGCGGTTGAGTGATTTTGTCATATTATTACTAAGTATTGATGTGCTTATCCAATTTGCCTCTTGCTCTTTGGGTATCTTCAATTCCAACAGACAAAAATTCCAAATGAGTAGCAGAAATACACCAAGTCCAAGTATCCCAAATTTTTAATATCCAAAACTCCAATAACCAACCAGCTTGATCCTCTACTGGTATCATCGTCTTCAAAACATTGAAACAAAGGAAATTGCTGAAAAGTGGCATCGTCCGTGAAAGAATACCCCCATAAGTCGTAATTCGTCAATGCAAGGAAACAAGAGCTCAGACTGCAAAATCTTCAAGCAGCAGAGACCTCGCCTCGCCTTGCAGACAGATCGCCGTAGCTGGGCAACACAGCAGTGCCCTGAAATTCGGGCGCAGGTTGCTGCATCAATCTCGGCTGAAGGAACGCATCGGCGTCCGCCTCCTCTTGCTGCGCCATCACGGCCTCGAAGCTGGGAAGACCCATGTCGAGCGAATCGAGCTGCACGGGCGGCTCGAGGGCGATTTGCAGAGGGATGTTCAAGTTGATCTTGGAATCGCCAACGACCAGTGTCAACTGCAGCGAGTACGTGCGAGAAACGAGGCAGGCGTGGAAGGTCGGGATAAAGGTCTTTCGGGCCGTGGGTAGCGTGAAAGGGATCTGGAGAGCGGCCTTGTGGAAGATGGGAGACGAGCGGTCCTTGCTCGAGCGGCGGCTGTTGCTCTGGCGCTGGCTGTCCGAGTCGGAGGGACTGCCTTCACGCATGCCATCGCTAGAGTATCCGGAGTCACGGCGAGCGGTGGAAGCCAACTGTTGGCGCCAAGCAACCTTGTCGACTGATGTCGAGAAGAGGGAAACCGAGGTCTGGTATGCGAGCTGCTGGATCATGGCATATGCCTCTTGACTGTTTCCCATGTTGGGGAGCGACGACATGGGTGCTGCGCCATACCAGGTCTGGGCTTGGACCTTGGCCGAGACGGTGCTGACCTTGGGAGGCAGGATATCGGCAGACGCAGGCTCGAAGTTGAGGTTGACCAGGACTGAGCCCTCGGAGGCTCCGCGGCCGTCGGCAGTGAGGTAGACAGCACCGGGCTGGGCGGTTGCAGCTGTAACAGTGCCCTGCTTGGAGGAAAAGATGTTCTTGCGAATGGTCTTGGTCTTGCTGAGGGCGTAGTTCCTGTCCTGCTTGGTGATGTTCAGGGGCGGGTCCTCGGGGGATCGAGGGAGAACTTTGATGTGGTGGGTGTCCTCCATGACCTTAGTCGGCTTTCCACCGAGCTCGTCCTGTCGCACAACGCGGGCCTTGATGACATACTGAATTTGGGCCATGTCAGGAGCCATATCGTCCCTCTCCCAGCCGCCCATGGTCGGGGGCAGGCGCATGTGGTAGTCTTGGATGTAATCGGACTGGGCCTTGTGGGTGCAGGCGCTCAGTGTCAGCTGGTGGGGGATGACAAAGTTGAAGGGAATGGTGTAAGCCCTGCCGGCCTCGAAGATCCGGGGTACGGGGTAGGCGGATGCGGGAATGGGCATCTCGAGCTTGAGAAAGGTGTGAGAAGAGAGCTGGGGAATCTGAACGGCATCGAGGCGAGTCCTTGAGATGCCAATGAGGATAATCTGGACAAAGTCGAACCGGCTGTCATGGCTGGGCGTGATTGTGACCTCTCCGAAAATGGGGTTGCCCGATGTGTAGACCTTGGAGCTGTAGTGGTCGTTGATCTTGACCTCGATGCTCTGCTTCCTGGTGGAAGCAGGCTGTCGGGCAAAAGAGATGACCGAGCTCATGTCACTGTGGCTCGACATTTTGGGCGATTGTTGATAGATGGAGCCTGCTAAGCGTGACGATGACGATGGTGGGAATGTCCCCGAGGTGGGAGTGTAGCTTATATGTATGTAGACGACGGCTTAAATGAAGATCCCCCGGGTATTGGATGGGAACCAGATGGAGTCTTGTGAGTGACGATATGGTAATGAAACCAAGTTGAAAGCCTGTGAGTGGTACGGAGAAATATAGACATTTCCATGGCAAGAGGGTGGGCGAGGCGTGTCTCTTTAAGGTCGGGTCAAAGTCAAGGATGGGAAGGGAGAAGATGGATGGGCAGGAGTGCAATGCAGCAGCATGTTTGTTTGACTCGACTCGACTTGAGCAGATCCATGGCAGCAAACGCCAGGGCCGGAAACAACCTGGAAACCCTCCACCGTCGACGTCTTTGCACTTGCAAAGGGCGGGCTCCTCATCCTCAGCCTGCGTGATGGAGGGAGGTGGGAAAACGTACCGGTACCTGGCCAAGGTACATGTGGTACTACGGGTGAGGTACCGAGAGTCGACCTGGGAACCTACCTAAGAGTGGTGGTGGGTGGCAGGCAGGTGCCGGGGCGGGAGACTCGCGCTTGCACAGGCAGTGGCCGACGGGAACTTGAACTGTTGACCGGCTGTTCAGTGTGTTCAGAGTGCAAGAGAAGGTGGAAAAAGTGGAGAAGAAGACAGCAGAAACAGAAAATCTAAAGGATGGGATCCACTAGAATGGTGGATGGCACGGCGGATGACTGGCGCTCCCAAAGACGAGCTTGGGTGCTTGGTCTCGACAAGTGACGCCCTTCCTGTCGAGCTTACCTTATACAACAATACGCTAGAGACCCCCGACTTCCATACGCTCTGTAACTCCCGTCTCTAGACTGTACGGAGGAGCCCAGCGGTTGTTGGCCGCAACTAGGTGGAGACTCCGAGACTCCGACCTCAAAAGGTCGCCAACAGCTGTGACAAAACGGCGTGAAAGGCGTGAATGGCAGCTATGACTCCGTCTCCTGCTCCGCAACTTCTCTGGGCCATCCAGGTTTCTCGTCCCCGGTTCTCTACATAGTAAGGTGAGGAGGTATTGAATACCTATTGAAGTTGCCTATGTTACCTAAGCTCCCGTAATCGAAGATGTATTGATATGAAAGTCCACTGTTGCACAGAGAAGTATTCAGCTGCAACAGACTCTGATTTCCAATGCTCCAAATGATGCCATGCAGACCATGCAAGACGCATCCAACCCCCAAGCTCATCTTTACCCAGTAATGCTTCTACTGTCTCTCCCTGCTGTTTCAAAATTAAAGGCTGCTTAGAATGCTTTCAGATTGGTAATCCAAGGTTGGGAATCTCAGACTCAACTTTGCTAGCGTGTCGCACTTGCTCGCCAAAAGAGTCATCATGTCAACTTGGACGTCGTGGAAAGGCGCGGGACCCGCTTTAACATGATGAGAACCGAGCAAGATCCTTTGACTGGACCTTCCTCCACCGCAACACACGGCGCCGATGATCGGCAGGTGCTCCTTGCAACGCACCTCACTTGCTTTGGGAAGAACGAGACAGCAATTCCCGCCGACTAACTTCAAAATGCTTGCTAAGGTGGTAAAGCACCTCAATAGTCTCTGAATCAAGGGAAACTTTCATCTTGCCGACCGATGCTTCTGACATGCATCTCCACCCACTCGGATTTCCAACCATCGCCAACGGAACCCGGCTCAAGCTTCTGGTACAGTCAGTCTGCTGACATGACGGATCAAATTCGACCCTGATGACTGTGACGCCAGCGCCAGTCAATTAGTGAAAGTCCAAAGCTCTCGCCGATCGCATCCTCGAATTGACAATGGCCAACAAGAACCAAAACAGTGTAAACAACACGCAGCCCGCCGAGGCACTTGGCTGCAACCTTGGTCGAGAACCTGTCGTACTCTATCCGTACAAACGCGTTATTCCATTGGATCGGCACCCAACTATTGTCTATCATGCATACTCAGGCCACTGATATGGCTCCATGCCCTGCTGCCGTCACGCTGTCGTCCGACCCCAAAGAGATAGTCAGCCGAATCTCCCAGCGCCCTACCGGATGACATTGACGCAAAAGACAAAGACTGCACTAGCACCTGTTCAAGAATCTTTACAGCCAATGTCGCGGACCACTGCTCTCGGAGCTCAATCGGAGCCGTGCCAGACTCCAGCCGTTGCCATCTCCAGACTGGGGAATGGGGAATCGGAATAGAGCTAAGAGAGCCGCCCCCGCGACACCACGCAAGAAACAACTCAAACCGAGGGCAATGCGGGCACGCGGGGAGCAATCATGGGACTCAAGATCCGCGACCCCAGCAATCTGTCAACGGCTGCAGCAGACCAGCATCCAGACAGTCACACTGTTATCTGCCTCTCGCATCAACAACTCACCGTCGCCCCCTGCGGCCTGCCGCTTCTTTCAACACCAAGCTGTGATGAGACGCACGAGGCAGCAGGAGAACCACAGCTGGGTAGCCAGTGGCACACTTCTCAGCCTACTACCGAGGAGAAGTCTTGTTCGCTGTCCTTCAATGATCGACCCCAATCGCGTTGCCAGTCCGACACCGCTGTCCCAATCAGCAGCTTAAACTCGTTCTACCACCCTCCACGACGACTGCAGGCAAGGGTGGGAAATTTCCTCCCCTAGCACTTCACTTCGTCATGGCTGCAATACTCAGTCACACGCACCAGGCGTATTTTCAAGCATGGGAGTAGGTGTGTCGTTGGTCGAAAAATCCCAAGCCCGTCGAACAAACAAGGGCGGCCTGGGTAGACTGACGAAAGGTACAAGCACACGACAAGTACAACAAGTATCGCAAGTACCTCTACCTCGAATCAATCATCTTCACCCTCAAACACACGCGAGGTGGATATCGCAATCCAGTGGACAAACGACGTGGATGAGAAAGAAAGAAAAAAAACCTAATTCAGTTGCAAAGTTCGCAAAAACACACGACAACCGGCTGGGCTTTACGTACACGGAATCGATGTCTAATGAGATCCATCCAGGGGCGCGGCGCTTTGCCTTTAGGTGCCTGGCGGCTGGTGCTGGCATTACACGAGATCCATGCCATCGGGTCCCCTTGACGTACACGGTCGAAAGTGGACTCCCGCGGCGGAGGCACATCGGCCACCCGCTTCGGCCTCCCGTTAGCGGTCGATGCGCTCTGTCAAGCCGGTGGATCCCCCGGTTGTCTGGGGCCCTGGAGATTGCCCTGATCCATCTCAAGGGTGCGCTTATGGGGGCGTGCCTCGCGAGTTCTTAACGTTAGGGGACGCCGAAAGTAATGAGATCCATCAGAGCTACGACCATGACCATCGTGAAGTGAAAATTTTACATTCGATCCCACGCTTTCGAAGTTTCGAAGGTCTCGAATGGCCACTTGCCAAGGTAGTGGCCGCATGGACCATTGGATGGCACACACACACACACACACACACACATGGAACATGCAAAAGAACAAACAGAGAGAAGCCATTACTGTCACATCACGACTCGTCAACCAATTTAGGGAACGGCAGGAGAAACCCCCGGGCGTACAGCTGACCACGTTGCCGCCTACCAGGAGCGCAATTGGATGTCAAGCAACACCAGCCGCACGACGATGGTGAGCTTATGACTGATGAGATCCATCGGGACGATGACGCTAGAATGCATGGAACGCCTGGATGGAAGGCTAGAACGAGCCAAGTACGTCAGGCCAAGGCACGGCAGCAAGCGGATCTTGAAAGTTAAGACAAGACAACTTGAGGCTCCATCGCGGAACAGGATGGGGCTCTTCGGGTTACGGCCTACGGCGTAACACTGCCTGCAATGCTGCATGGCCGTGCTGTGCGGCTCATCTGCGAGCAGCAGCTGGAGCCGCCGTGAGGTTCTGATCGACTGACCCAAATCAGGGGTGCATACGGGAAGCAGGCCAATGTTGAACGGGCATGCTTGAGAACAACAGGAGACAACTGTGGGTTTGTTTGATGTGGATTGTGGATGTCAGTGACGATGGTGCAATACCACGAATATCCCAAGCACGATATCCACTTTGAGCCGACGACAAACGAGCCGTGAATGGCCGCGTTGCGGTCTACGATGGCACATGGGTATCTACGATGTCGACAGTCGGGGCTCGGACAATGTGGTTGAAGTTTTTTTCGAGAAAATTCTTACGAGCACTTTGTTGCCTCTTTTGCGAAGAGTGGAGTGCCATAAGCGCCATTTGTCCAAGGGAAAAAGGACCCACGATGCGCCTTTGGATGGACAGCACTGGAGACATCCTGGAGACATCCCACGCTCCGGAACGAGAGTCCGGAAGTATTACCTAACACTCCCGTTAACCGCCCTTCAGCACATGGCCTCATCGACAAACGTCTTTGGCCAGACCCCCAGCGGGCCAACGATGATGGGATTCCGCCTCCAATCGGGACGGAGAGATCCTTCGGACGACGGATGGGACAACCTTTTTTCCACTTCCAGGTCATTCCCGAACCAAAAGGCGTCATGCACACATGGCCATGCACGCACCCACATGAAGGTGTATAGACTTTGCAAGTCAAGCGCAAGACTCATATTAACTCACGCGCCCAGGGCGCCCAGCTGTTCTCATGTACACCGCGCCCTGCAGGGCGCCTCATGTCAATGTCGCTATTGCGCTAGGCGGTGGTAGGCCATAGACGTGGACAACAACGCATATTACTTGGGCATCTCCCGGTTCATTGGCGACCAACCCAGAAGAGACAAGAGCTGACCAAGCTCTATGTTGAATAATTATCGTCTTTTTGCTGGACCGGAAATCATAATTCTCAAGGCTGAGGTGAAACCAAACACCATCTCTAGGACTGTGTTGCGTCAACCCTCTCGACATTTGCTCATCAAGCTCATTGCGTGCTTGACAGCCGCAAACTTCCAGACCGCCCAGAAAGTGCATCATACACACCTCCACTGGTTCTATGCTGCCTGAGTTACGGAGTAGGGAGGTAGCAAAGCGGTCAGGCCAAGCTTGAGCAACACTAGGTACTCCGTACAAAGTGCGATTGCATGCAAACCCACAAGCCTACTCGGAATACCCAAGGCTCATTGAAACAACGGGAGTCCTTAACCCCGGCCTTGACAAGCTTATTCCTTCGTGGGGAACAGCGTCGTGTGTGTATTATTCAGCTTCCATTGCTCTTCAGTAGTCGAGCACACAAGAAGTTCCTCTACATTGTCTACTTCTCCTTACCCCGACTTTTCGACGACGCCACATGCCTTTTCTTGCGCCCGCACTTCTACCAAAGACGGTCCGACGGTCAGGACTAGACGATCCGTCAACCGAGTTGTTGGAAAAATGGGTTTTCGGACGGTCTCTGCTATGGGATGCGCCGTTTTTGGTTGGAGTTGGTCATGCTTCCTCGTCCCCAGCTTACTTTAACCGTATGGATGCCGCTTGACATGTCTCCAATTTTTCTAGAGTTAAGGTTGAAGAAGGCTTGGCGACGGCTTGCTTTGAAGTCACTTTTTGGCTGGAGCAATACCAACTCATCTAGCAGCGATGGACGGTCTTGCACGGTCTATTGTCTCTATATATTCTACATTGGACTTACGCCTTTTTGGCTTTTTTCCAGCAGTCACACCTCATCTAACGTGAGGCATGTTTACATGTGCACGGAGGCAAAAAAATTCAAGCACCATTTTTTTTATTTTTAAAAAAAAAAGGGGTGCATTCATCTAGTCGTGCCACGAGATGTACAGCATGATGCCGGCACCGACAGCGATGGCGGCAAACTGAACGAGGGTCTTGCGCAGCTCGGCCATCTTGTTCGGGCCCGTCTCGAGCAGCTCGGGGATAACGGCGACGGTGCCCACGTAGAGGAACGTGCCCGCGGTGAAGGGGAGAAGCAGGTCGCCCAGGGTCTGTCCGTCACAGTCAGCACTTGTAGTCGTCACGCAGGGGTAGTGTGAAAACCAATGAACCAGGTCAAGTTCCAGAAGTCCGCAAGAGGGAGAGAAGAGAGAGAAAGGAAAGAAAGAAAAGAAACTCACCAAGCTGGTACCCCAGAGCCCCGCGTTGCGCGGCATACCGCCCTCGCCGGAGCTGGAGCCGCTTCCGCCAAGCTCCTGGACGGCGATACCGATGAGGGTGCCGAGCAGGGCGCCGAGGGCCGTGACGAACTGGGCGCCCATGGCGGCGCGCTTGCTGAAGCCGGACTGCACGAGGAGGGCAAAGTCGCCGACCTCGTGGGGGATCTCGTGGAAGAAGACGGCCACCGTGGTGGTTGCGCCGATGGTCGGGGATGCGTAGAAGCTGGCGGACATGGCGAGGCCGTCTGTGATGTTGTGCGTGAAGTCGGCGCTGTGGGGATCTAAGTCAGTACAGAGCAACCAGTCATTTTAGTAGAATTCGTTGCCCGGCGGCCGGAGGAGAGTAGGTTAAGGGAATGGCCGTACATCAGGTTCAGGTAGCCTCCGAGTCTCACGCTGGGGTTCATCTCCTTCTCCGGCTTGTCCACGGCGTCGTCGCATCCGGATCCGGAGTCGGTGCCGGCGCCGCCCTTCTTCTTCTTGTTGCGCGAGGTGACTTCGCCCGCCTTCTCCACGGCAGACGACACGCCCTCGGCCTTGGCCTCCCCGTGCTCCTGCGCGTGCGAGTGTCCGTGATCATGCGAATGCCCTGCCCCGCCCGTAGCGATCCTCAACCCCTTATCCATGGCCACGAACGTCATGAAGCCCACCAGGATCGCGACGCCGAGCAACAGGTTACGGTTCGGTTCGACGAGCACCAATCTCGCGCGCTCGGGCTCGTCCTCGCCGAGGAAGATTTCGGGGAGGAGGTGGAATAGGGTGTCGCCCATGAGCCCTCCGACGGCGAAGGCGACCATGACGGAGAGGGAGGAGGGGTCAATGTCGGTCGGGCAGAGGGCGAGGAGGAAGTTGGGCGGGCCGGAGATGTAGAGGGTTGCCAGGAGGGCGTTTACGGCGGGGGAGCCGGGGAAGAGGGTTCCGAAGGCGCGGGAGAGGAGGGAGGGGGTTTCGGAGAGGGAGGCGAGTTTGGACGAGGTTAGAGATTGGACTATCGAGCATTGCTGGGCATCGTATGGTCAGTTATGAAGCTCTAGGCTGATGGTTTTCGATGCTCTGAGCTCTCCCGTGGGATTCGATCGGGTTGGCCTTCGTCTTCTTCTTCTTCTTCTTCTTCTTCTTCTTCTTCTTCTTCTTCTCTTCGCACTTACCTGCAGCTGCTCGTCAATCTCCTCGAGGCTCAGCGATGCCACGGGTTTGCTCGTCAGACCAATTTTCTCGGCGACGGTGGAGGCGAGGCCGAGCTGGACCATCAGGAAGAGGGCCCAGAAGGCGGGCTTCGAGGAACGAGCCATTGTCGTTGTCGTTGCCTACGAAGTTCGGAATTTGATTTTGAGAGTTTTCTCGAGCTAAATCTCGTGTTCAATCTCACCGTGGTCAAACGATTGACGGGAGGGAGGTGTTGTGGGAAAACGAGTGGAAGCTCTCGATTGCACGACGAGAATTGTCGAGAGAAGCGAAGAAAGCTGTGGCGGTGATCCTAACACTTGTTGAGATCTCTCGTTGCCTACTCCAATGTCCGCATAGTGCAGAAGGCCCCCCTCCCTCCCTCCCTGGATAAGCTGTCATCTTATTCCTCCAACCTTGGCGAGCACGTCCGCTGCCGCTGCCGCTGCAGTGCCGGCCGAGGGAGACCACTGTAATTCCGACCATTTTTCGGCCGGGGAACGCTTACGCCGATAACCGGTGCGAGCTGTCCAGTGCTTTCTCGCTGGAGGAGCTTGCTGGAAGGAGCTGAGAGGGTCGCGTGCCCGCTGATTGTGAGGTGCTGCTCGATGGAGGGGGTAATGCGAGCTTGCTGTGCAAGCCGGGAAGCATAAAAACGCCGCTATGCCGTTTTCGGGAGTTGTTGTGCAAGTCTTGCGTCCGATGTTGGAATTGGTAGGATAAACTCATCCGTATTACCTACCCGATAAGCGATATGGGATGGAATTTGGTCCAAGGACACGGTCAGAGTTGCCAAAGATACTTGGAAACAGAAAGTGCAAAAGGAAGGGGGGTCTCGAAGCATTTATTCATTTTTCTCGACACTCCTGCTTGGACCTTACGAGAACGGACTAAAGCTCTTGGTACTGGGAAAGAAGCTGGGGCTCCCGAGGTTTCGAGTACCCGGACGGGTCGGTGACCGTTTCCACCACCACTTGCCGCGTAACGACATTCCCTCTTCAGCTCGCAGGAAAGAGCAAAGGCAGGGTCTGTTTGGCCAATGCTGTTGCAGAGTACTTGAGCACTGACAGAGGATGGGTAATGCTTGGGAAGTGATGGACCCTGATTTGCTGGGGACCGCTGGGAGGTTGCATCTTGCTCTTCGGGATGTGGGAGCGGAGGCGGGTGTCACCGAGCTTTTTGGGTGTGAGTTCTGACGTCGCTTCGTCAATCAACTTTGGCGAGCTCCTCGACGCTCTGTCTGTTGAATATGATGTCTTCATCTGCTCTCCATGAGTCTTGTAAAGTACCATTGACTTTGTTCGGAATGGTGCGAGTGAACAATGGCACGATGGCTATATGCGCCTACTTCACTCGAGAGGGCCGAATACTACCTATGTGCGCCATGTTGCATGCCCAGGAAAGAGCACGCATGGCATCTATCAACTAGCTGGATATCAAAAAAAATGAAAGCCCGAGAGCTGTATCCATGCTCTATGCGGGATGAAAAGCCCATGTTTTAGGCTCGAAGTGGCCCGGATTTCATATAAACCAGTATCTCTCGAACCGGCGCCTTCCACCAAGAAGCACCTACCGAGCGACCAATGATCTTACGCTAGTGACTCACCGTTTGGGGTTCTAGGGACTGCAGCAAAGCCTTGACTGCCAGGTCTCCTGCATTTCTTTGCGACTTCATCCCCATGATTATATTGTTCCTCTTGGGAGCGTTCCTGTAGATGGCTTCATTAATGATTCTGAGTAGTTCCTTCTCTGGTCCTTGGAGACCGCATGCTTTGCGATAGACATTATGTAAGTAGGGACGTTTGGGTAGATCGTACTCTACAGTTCCACTCGATTCTACTGAATATATTATTTCAGCTTGTCTGTAGAATTCTTTAGATCGCCCTTGAAACTTGGAGGCATCCAGAGTGACATGACATCTGAGGAAGCCCCCATGGGGCGTTTGTTGATGAGTGAACGATGGAGAAGCGATATCGATTAGACCTGACTATGTTCACTTGTTTGCTCGCGGCTTTCAAAGTGGTATATAAAAAGGGGTTGGTCCGGGTCAAATCTGATCTAAGAGAACCCGACCTCGTTCTTGTCTTCTGGGTCCGTTCGGGTGCGAAGCCTTCTTTCTGGGGTCCTTGGTCTTGGGCGATGCAGATTGGGGAAATCCAGCGAGATTATCACAGCCGACACAAGTACTAACCAAGAGTCTGGACACCCTTGTTCCCGTCCCGTCATTATTTATGTCGAACGTAGTACATGACGAATACGTGAGGAAGCCCGTCGGGACGTACGAACCGCTGGATCTCTCTTTGATGTGACGGCTGAGGGGTTCAGTCTGATGTACCTTGCCTTAGGCTAGCCACCAAAGCCGGTATACATGATGCTCCAGACCAATGACCGGTCGGGATGCGTACCCACTAAGTCCTGGAGACAACGATTCACTATGGCGTGGTCTCCCTATCATATATCTATGTTTACAGGTCACTGAAGATGCCCAAGGTATTCTAGAATTCCCTGCTGACTCCAACAAAACGGCAGGCCACTCTTCATTGCCGCCAAGTACCAGTCACTCGGAACGCAGATTCAGGTCACATCAGATGCTGATAGAGACAGATAGAGGCAGAAATGTAGTTAGTACCCATGACAGCATCTCAGCTTATCTGATCGTAATAGTCCTAGGGATCCTGTCCGGCCAGTGAGAAAGAACCTCTATCTGTAAGTTGGCATACGACTCTTTGTCTTATGATGGGAGACTCACGTGTTTGTTATAATATTTAGCTGCTCTTTGCTCATCGCTCTTAGTTACGTACATGTCTCAAGGTATGATCCTCTACCTTACTACCTTACATAGCGAGTCACGAGACTATAAAGTACTACGGCCAGGGGAGCTTCGGTATGTGAGCCCATGTAGGGTCTCGGGATAGAGATTGCGGTCCCACTTGACAGGATTCTCCTGTATTTGTTTTCAAGAAAGAATACCTCGCCTTAGCGCTCCTCTCCCTAGGTACGTATTATTGAATATAAGTAGAGGTTCCCACAAACATGGCCTCCATTTTCGATTTGATGAGGTCTCGGGTTTCGGGTTTCGGGTTTCGTGACTAAGGTTGAGGTCGTTTCTGACGTCTCTCTTGATGAAGTTTTCTGGGGTTTGGATCCAAGCCCCCTGCATCTTCGGTCGGCTGGTCTTCTCGGATTCCAGAACGAAGTGTCGCTTCCACCTGCTGGTCATGTGTTGGATACTCGTTTTCTCTTCTTCACCCCAGTGAGTTTACTGTACATGGAATCAACACGGGACGACGACGGGGGATGAGTAGACTTCTTGTTAAGTAGGTTAGTGTAAATAGCGTTCTATAGAAAAGGCAATAAGTGAGTGGCTAAGAGCTCCCGTACCAAAGTCAGATGTTGCGAGATCTATCGATGGAGGGAGCGGTTCAACGTACACCACTTGTTGTGGGGAACAAAATCTAGTCATCGACGCTCTGGAGACAACTTCTTATACTGTTTCTGGCAGGAAGACTTGTTTGACTTATCACGTTGTTCATCTCGCGCAGCTGCAGACAGGACATACATATCATTCCCACGCAACATTGGAGGTAAACTTCACTTGTCGTCAAAGTCACTAAACCTTTTTAGTGACAATCGAAATCGAAGCTGCTCATTCTGCTTGGAATTCACATTCATTATCAACACCCCCATCTCAACTCTCACATCTTATACGCCACACCCGACTCACGCTCCATCATATCAAAAGTAGGCTTCCCCGAAAACCACCCCGTCATCTCGGACCCGATAGACTTGTACGTAAACTCGGCATCCTCATCATCAATCTTGACCGTCTCGTGTCCCCTACCCCCGGCAGCAGCATCGGCAAGTAGCTGCTGGTGACAGCACCGCTCGAGGCTGAGGAACCAGTAGACGCAGCTCTCGACGCTCTTGCCGCAGGTGATGAGCCCGTGGTTCTGCAGGATGGCGGCCTTCTTGTCGCCGAGGGCGGCGGCGATGCGCAGACCTTCCTCCTTGCCGAGGACGATGCCGCCGAACGAGTTGTAGAGGACGACGTCGTTGTAGAAGGCGCAGGTGTCCTGGGTGGTGATGTCGAGGTTGCGGCCGAGGGCGGAGAAGGCTTGGCCGTAGAGGGAGTGGGAGTGGGCTACGCAGTTTATTTCTGGGCGGGCTTCGTGGACTGCGTGATGGATCATGTATGCTGCCGGATCGATGTTTAGCTTGGATCATTTTGAGATGGCCCTAGTGATGATGATGAGCCTTTGAGAAGGGGGACGAACCGGCGGTGTTCAAGAGCCTGACGGGGCCTCCTTCGACTACGTCACCGTTCTCATCTACGCGGATGAGATCCGATGCCTTGAGCAGTGGCCAAGGAACGCCAAAGGGATTCAGCCAGAATGTTTGCGGCTCAACGGGGTCCTTTCGCCAAGCACGGTCAGTTCAAGATTCCGAGCCGTCCCCAATGTTTCTGAGACGGGAGAAGACGTACCCTGACTGTGATGTGGCCAGCGACGCCAGCATCGAAGCCGTTCTTTGCGAAAATGCGGAAACCCAGGGCTAAACGCTCCTTGAGATGCTGACGCTGCTGGTACGGATCATCAAACTTTTGAGGCCGGGGGAAGCCCTTGGTCTCCAGAGTCTTGGACTTGTCTTGCCCGGTCTTCTTTTCAGGCGCAATGGTAGAGCTGGGCAGGATGCCGTTGCCGTTCGTGTGTTTGACGGCGGAGGCGTCTGCGTGGGGGATCTGGCTGACTGAAGTTGATGGTGCCATGTTTGCTTCCTGATGCCGGGTTGTCACTTCACAAAGTATGTATGTGTTGTGTGCTTCAAGCGGGAATGGGCGATATCAACGGGAAGTGCCGACGTGGATTCGAGCTTCATAAGAGTGAGGTGAAGTATGAGAGAACTATCCGTACTCGCCACGCAAATGTCCATCCGAAAGGTTCGCACTTAAGCTTTATTCATGCGGGATAGCTCAAGCTTCGGCTGCCGATATCCCACCCCGTCCACTGGGCCTATTCGGGGAGATAGCTTCCACATCACTAACAGAATGGAACAATAATCTGCGGGTATCAAGACGGACATCAATGCCGGAGCTGCTAAGGGTTGGCCACGCCCTCCCCCCGACTACCGGTACGCGGGTCCCGAGGCAAACCCCGCATTATACGTCGATTGTGCCGCTCTGGCGTTTTGGCCCCCCCAGTCCCTGACGATGCGTGCCTCGGTGCCCACCTCCATTTAGGCCAGGTATCCAATGGTTGTCGAAATATTAATACGACGGAGAGGATTACTTGGTTGTTTAGTGAGAGAGCGGAATGAGCTCCGCGACGGCGATCGGGGAGAGGCTCTTGAAAACAACGAAAGGCGCACGATTTACGATTTGCTTGTTACGCCCTGCAGATGCTACGGGTCCATGAGGTGCAGACTTCCAGGAAGCTTGGGCCCCCGTATGTAGAGTAATCGGCGCCGCGTCTGCGGTCTCATCCCGTATTGGTGAGTCGCCAAAGTATGTTCACATGGAAAGCAGTCGATATCGCCAGAATACAAATATCACCCCAGACACCGAAGATGGGAGGATGATGAGATGAAGGTTGAGTAAGGTATCTTGAGAGACTTGTGTATGTACACACTGAGGTGATGAATGCGGGACGCTTCTCAGCGGGCTCCAGCGGGCTCCAGCGGGCTTCAGCGGATACAAGCCGGGCGGGGGGCCGGGGCGGACCCTGAGGTTACAGGGGTGCGATGCGGGGTGATTAGATGCTCCCCATAGCTGACGTTTGATTGGCCAATCATCTCCAATCGAGGGGCTGGCCGCAGGTTGGCGCAACTTTTTTTTTTTCTCCATTACTCTTTTCTGGTGACGGCAAAATTTCACACCGCGCGACACCACCAGCGCTGATAGGATCGGAACTACGTGCGACTCTCACCTCAAGACTTCCCTTCCTTTCGAACAACACACGCGTGCGCAACCTATACCCCTCCACGCACGTCAACTTAATCTCCCCCCCCCGCGACGCATCATGGGTCGCAAGTTCAGAGTGAGTTTTCCGATCGCTTTCAATTCACTGATGCCCGTTCGCGCGCGCTGACAATCATTCCATCAGGGAGGCAAGAAGGGCAAGTCCCGCGGCGGCAGCAACGCCGAGGGCGGTGGTGACCGCGGTCGCCAGCCTCGCAGCGAGTCGTGGCAGAACTATCCCGCCGTAAAGAAGGAGAATGAGAGACTCCAGCGCTACTACAACACCATCTTTGGCCTCTCCGAAGAGGAGCAGGGTCCTTTCTGGGATGCTCTGCGCAGAGATCTGCCCAACAGCTTCCGCTTCTGCGGCTCCAAAGGGTAAGGCATCTGTCACTTGACAGCATCGACATTTTGTTTCGCGCGACCTCGACTGACCTCAACTTTAGTCACGCCTTGGCCGTGAAGAAGCTGCTGCAATCCCGATACATGCCCGAGATCCAGAACATCCAGCACGCCGATGGACGCACCGTCGAACCCCCCCAGCCCTTGTCTTGGTACCCCAACGAGCTCGCCTGGTGGATGACCACCCCGAAGAACATCATTCGCAAATACCCTCCCTTTGCCGCCTTCCAGAAGTTCCTCGTCTCCGAGACGACCGTCGGCAACATCAGCAGACAGGAGGTCGTCAGCATGATTCCCCCCCTCTTGATGGACGTCCGCCCCGGCATGACTGTGTTGGACATGTGCGCTGCGCCCGGCAGCAAGGCCGGCCAGCTTCTCGAGATGATTCACCTGGGCGAGGAGGCGAGAGTCAGAAAGGTTCTGCGCGCCTTCGCCCAGGAGGACGGCCTCGACCTCGGCGACGAGACGGAGGAGGAGCGCCAGGCTGACCTATCGGCTGACCCTTCGGATTCTGGCCGCACCACCGGCCTCCTCATTGCCAACGACTCCGACTACAAGCGCGGCCACATGCTTGTCCACCAGCTCAAGCGCCTCGGATCCCCCAACCTGCTCGTGACCAACCACGACGCCACTCAGTACCCCGCGATCAAGCTCCCCTCGAACCCCGAGACCCCGACCAAGCCTCGATACCTCAAGTTCGACCGAATCCTCGCCGATGTGCCGTGCTCGGGTGACGGCACCATGAGAAAGAACATGAACCTGTGGAAGGACTGGCAGCCCGGCAATGCGCTGGGTCTTCACGTCACCCAGGTCAGAATCTTGCTGCGCGCGCTCGCCATGCTCAAGGTCGGAGGCCGCGTCGTCTACTCCACCTGCAGTATGAACCCCGTCGAGAACGAGTCCGTCGTCGCAGCCGCCATCGACCGCGCCGGTGGCCCTGACAAGGTCGAGATCGTCGACTGCAGCAACGAGCTGCAGAGTCTGGTTCGCGCCCCCGGTATGAAGAAGTGGCAAATCATGGACAAGTCTGGCAGGCTGTGGAGCTCCCAGGCCGAGGTCGATGAGTGGACCAAGAACAGCACCGAGGGTGTTGCTCCTGGAAGACTCGTCGAGACCATGTTCCCGCCGTTGGAGGGCAGCGTCTGCGCCGACCTGCCTCTCGAGCGCTGCATGCGAGTCTACGCTCACCAGCAGGATACTGGTGGCTTCTTCATCACCGTCCTGCAGAAGAAAGCCGAGGTCAAGATCCGTCCCGAGGACCAGAAGCAGGGCGACGAGACCACCAAGTCAAATGGAGCGACCGCGGCTGCCACACCCGCTATTGCTACACCCGCGACTGAGACCGCGGCCGAGACCGAGAACACCGAGACGAAGATGGAGGTCGACGCTGCTGAGAAGACCGAAGAGGTCGTCGAGGCTGCCGAGGCTGCCCCCGAGACGGCCCCTGAGACCACTACCGAGGCCACCGAAGAAGTAAAAAGTGAGGAAAAGGCCGAGGAGGCAGAGCATGATGCTACGAACGGTGTTAAGCGACCGAGAGAAGACGAGGCGGCTGACGGCGAGACTCAAGAGACCAAGAAGGCCAAGCTCGAGGCGACGACGACGACGACGACACAAGAGAAGCCCAAGAACTCGAACCGTAATATCCATGGCCGTGTCGAGGAGCCATTTAAGTACCTGGACCCCAAGCACGAGGTCATCAAGAACATTCGGGAATTCTACCACATCTCGTCGCGCTTCCCTGACGACCGCTACATGGTCCGCAACGCCACGGGCGAGCCCGCCAAGGCCGTCTACTACACCTCTGCGCTGGCTCGCGACATCCTTTCGGAGAACGAGGGCCGCGGCATCAAGGTCATCCACGGCGGCGTCAAAATGTTCATGAAGCAGGACGCCCCCTCGGCCGAGATCTGCCGCTGGCGCATCCAGTCCGAGGGCATGCCCATCCTCCAGGGCTACGTCGGCGAGCAGCGCGTCGTCCGCCTGACCAAGAAGGAAACGCTGCGCCGTCTGCTGATTGAAATGTTCCCCCGCATCGCCGACGGCGAGTGGGAGCAGATGGGCGAGATTGGCGAGCGCGTGCGCGACATCGGCATGGGCTGCTGCGTGCTCCGCGTCGAGCCCGACGGCTCCGACCCGGCGTTTAGCGAGCGCATGGCGCTCCCCCTGTGGAAGAGCATTCACTCGCTCAACCTCATGCTGCCCAAGGAGGACCGGACGGCCATGCTGCTCCGCATCTTTAACGACACCACCCCGCTCATCAATAACAGTCTGCAGAAGCAGCGGGCCATTGACGAGGCTGCTAAGAAGCAGGCCGCCGCGGAGGACGCCGCGGAGGACGCCTATGTCGCGGAGAAGGAACTCATTGACATTGAGGACGCCCCCACGCCCGAGGGGATGGAGATCGAGTCTGCGCCTGTTGTTGCAGAGGCTGAGGACACTGCTGCCGCTGCTGCTGCCGTTGCTCCTACCACTGAGGAGGCTTAGAAGGCGAACTCGGACTCGAGCGAGTTTGACCTGGACGCTCTGTTGGGTAGAATGGGTAAACGTGCGGCAAAGCGCGCGAGAGCAGCCAAGCGCCGGCAGACTGATTATGCGCAGAGGAGCGTGGACTTGGTCATGCGTGATGCGGCGGAGGGAGGATGGCTTGTCAGCGATGACGATTGAGCCTTGTCCGTAGATGTCCTGCCTTGGAAGTATCACGATACCTGGTATCGTGGGTTGATATAGACAAGGGGTTATCCGAGATGGACGAAAGAAGGAAAAGTAAATGTATGAGTACATGAAAAAAACTCGTCGAGATGGGCGTTTTTGCATTTTGCACAGTTTAGAGAAATACACAGGGAGATCAAATCAGAGACCCAAGCTTATATTGCTCTTTCGAAACGCATTCCGGAGGTTGAGTTGACATAACTATATATAGAAAACTTTGGAAATCATGTATGCTTGCATAGACTCGCAAAATCTTGACTCTCAATCATCAAACTCACTCGAATAACCACACACACACACCATCCAACCATCTACTCGATCGGATTGCAAAATCAAATCTTCCTTCAACCACCGCCGATTTCCCCAAAGACCTCCAAAAAGGATGAGTGCGCTTCAATCGCGGACGGGAATTGAGCCCGACGTGGCTGGGAGGAGTTAGTTTGAATGTTTTGAACATCGTCAAACAATGAGTCGTAACTTACGGGTCGAACCCACAACCTTGAGATTAAGAGTCTCACGCTCTACCGATTGAGCTAGCCGGGCAGGCTTTGTACATATGGTTGGTGACGAGGTGGGAGGATGGGAGGGTCTATGATGCGGGTCGAAGGGGAGGGGAGAGGAGGTGGATATTGTGTGTTGTGGGTTTGGGGGGTTTGGATGTCGACCTTTTGCTGGAGGATACCTGGAGTAACGAAAAGTATGATTGAAAAGGTCTGAGGGGTATAGCAGGGAGGCAGGACTTGGTTCAAAAAGCAGAGTGTAAGGATCCTAGGGTTGGCTCAATAGACTGCTCGGAATGCTCTCAATTTGGGTTGATGATACTTGCATAAGACGAGAACAAATTGCGAGGCTTGCACATGCACATACTGGTGTGGTTGTGGTAAACATTGACTTATCAATCCATTGAATTCTACTCAGGAGCTATGCTCGAGTTTTTTGTAATCCCTACCACGCAATTATCCTAACAATACTTCTTTCGCCGCTTTACAAATGAGAATTCTTTTTTGATATGCTTCTAGCAACACTCCTCATCAACGTGGACCTTGCCATGTGTGCTGGAGCTCTTCATCTCCTCAGCATTAAGCTTCTTCAAGACTTCGGGCTCGAAGCCAGCCGCAGCATACGTAGCCTTGTCCTGGTTCAGGTTCTTGCCATTTGACAGGCCGTACTCGGGTGTCGAGGAACCGTTGGAAGAGACAGTGTCGTCGCGGGTGACGGCCTGCTCAACGCCGTTCATGAACTTGCGGGACTCGTCCTCTACGGAGGAGCCGTTGATCGTATAGCCAGTGTCGCTGGCATCAACGTAGGCCTCGAGACCGGCACCCTGGCGGGGGTACTCCTTCATGAGCTCCTTGTGCACCTTGAGGGCAGCACACATATCCTCGTGAGAGACGTCATTGAGGAACTCGCAAGTGCCGATGGGTGCAGGAATGGCGGCGCGAAGCTTGCCGTCACGGGTCTTGAGGATGGCAGAGGTAGCCTTGTCGAGCATGCTCTCGTCAAACAGGGGGTGGTCCATGGAGAGACCGGCGCGAGAGAAGAGGTTCAGCAGGCGGCGGTGCTCATTCGATGATAGCTTTCCGAGAACGTGCGCGAGAGTTGCGGAGTAGGCCATGTCAATAGAGATGGCGTGGCCGTGGCGCAGGGGCACATCAGGGGAGAGCTCGTGGAGAGGGGACCAACTGCGCGGGATTAGCTTCTAGGGCCTCGTGGCGCATGCAGGGCAAAAAGTGACTTACGTGTGGCCGTAGGCAATGACACGGTCGAGCATGATCTCGTGCAAGTTGGGAGTCTCAAGCTTCAACATCTCGTGGATACCATTGCGGTTGATCTTGTCAGCCGCATCCCTGACCTCCTTGCTAGCTCCATCAGTGCGACCGAAACCAGTCTTGATCAACTCCTCACAGAAGCGATCAAGCAGGTCAAAGGTCTCGAGGTGGGCACAAGTAGAGATCTTAATCAGCTCTGCGAAACCATTGCGGATCTGTGCGGTGGGAAGAGTTCGCAAGAAAGTGAAGTCGAGGAAGGTGTGTGTCGGTGCGTGGTATGCGCCCAGACGGTTCTTGTAGTTGCCGTAGTTGACAGCGACCTTGATGGATACGGAAGCATCGATCAGGCCAATGACTGTTGTGGGAATGCGGATGAATGGCGTGTTGCGGCGGTAAGCAGCGCATGCGAAGCTGGGTTGTGTGAGAAGTCTAGCAGACCAGGGAGTAATTCGGGGGAAACATACCCAGCAACATCTGTGACCAATCCACCTCCAACAACAAGAACAGGCTCCTTCAAGGGGTGTTAAACAGGTTCAGGAACTTCAAGACAGACTACATACCTTGCGGTAGACACCAAACTCAGTCATGGAGTCGACGATGCTCAGCAGCGTCTCCATGGACTTGGCCTTCTCGCCAATCATGGTCTTGTGAATCTTGAGCTCAATGTTGTAGTGGTCAAAGTACTCCTTCATCTCCTTTCCATAGATGTTGAAGATGTTGAGGTCCATGACAGCCAGGCATCGCTTCCAGCGCGAGTAGCAATCAGCCAGCTGGCTGTTCTGCTTGTTGAAGACACCATCGAGGAACTCGAAGTCGTACTCGATCTTCTCGTAACCACAGACGGAGAAGCCCTTCTTGGTGGGCTCAACCGTCGCCTTCATGTCTGATGCCATCTTGAGAAAAGGGGGATTGGGATTGACTGAGTCTGGGTATTGCGCAATGGGGAGAAGAGTGCGTTTGTCAAGATGAAAGGAATCTGCCAGAGAGGTGCTTCCAACACCAGGCTTTTGAATGAATTAAGCTTCCACAGTCAGAATTGCGAGACAAGACCGCAGCCGTATGAGATACTTCTCGTTCCAGTAGACAATGCTCTTTCGGCGAATGTCAATCCCCGGAGAATTGTCGACGAATTGTCGACATCATCACTTGCGCCTCCAACGCTCACCTAGGCCCACTCCAGGTTGACCGACTCCTCAAAAGAGGATCAAGTTACACAATCCCAAGGCAGACGAAAGCAAGTCATCGGAAGACGACAAGCAAGGGTCGGAGCCCAAAAGGCAAGACCCCGGCTTGTCCCGGGCGCGTAAGCTTGGAGCTATGCTGCTTTACCTTTGGGGAAAGCAGCTGGCGCAACGCGGTAGTTGACAAGAGAGGAGAAACGGTGACAAGTACATTCGACTCGATGCTGCCGTCAAACTTTGGTGGCGCAAGCGAGTTGCTAGTACGGGCAAGCTTGGATGGGATCGCCCTCGTTGAATGCGTGGTTTTTTTTTTTCCTTCATCAGATCTCTTTCGTTCCTCTCGTATTACGGTTGCTGCGTGACGGCAATGTGCAGAGGGAGTGTCGTGATGCTCATGACGTTGGCCAATGAGGCCTACAGCTTCTGGCCCCGGAGACGTCTAGAAGCGAGGCCTGGCGTCCGTTCTGGCGTTAGTTCCGCATGCCACAGGCTCTCTGCTTGTTGTGTCACGTAACCAATGCGGTCCGCGGGGCGGGAAGATGGCGTGCTATACTCGGAGTGTCTTCCGATGTTCCCTATTTGCCGCCTGTCGAGCATAACGGCAAACAGAATGAGAGCTAGAGAAATTCCATGTTTCAGTCTGGAAAGTCGATTCCGTCATCGACATTCGATAATTCTTCGGTAGGAACGCGGAGCCAAGCGTAGCTAGAGCAAGCTAGAGCAAGCTAGAGAGGAACGAGAGGCTGGCTGTCAGAGACAAGCCCAGGCCCCAAGTGCTGCTTGCCTTTGCTTCCAGGAGATGATCGACACGAGTCGTGAGATCTAGATCTCGCACGTGGGGAAAAGGGTGGGAGGACAAACCAGGGGAGAAAACCCTCCGGCGAGCCGCATCGGGTCGTTGACAGCTTCTCGTTGGCTGGGGGAAGCACAGCGTCCGTTGCGAACATGGATTCAGGTGGCATTTCTGGTTCATCGGATTTGTTCGAATGCTGTCAAGCGTGGGAGCCATGGATCGGATGAAAGCATCGAGTCGCATGCTGGTTGTTGGATCAGCGGCGTCCCCCCTGGTTTCGTGCTACCGTTGGCTTGACGCACCTTGATTGGAAAAAAGACAAAAGGCAGTTAAGACGTTTGGAAAACCCCGCAGTCGGCCGAGAAAGCTGGCATGAGCTGAGAAAGCTGCAGTTGGTCTGCAGTTGGGAAAGCTCGAATGTAAAACTCAATTACATCTTTGACGCGGTCGATGAGGCGTTATGCGCGTCATGACTTGCCGTGCCCAGCCAACTGCCCCTCTCCGCGTGCCACTACCCGCAATCGTCGCGAAAGCACATGATTTTGTACTCCCGTACTGATGTACCTTTGTAACTGTCTATGTACCTGACCGTATTCTTACTCAACACATTGCGGAAGCTGCGAATCACCATCTTTGCGGGATGCAAGGTCCGGTCAGTTACCCCGCCATGGCCAGATGTCTCTCTTTCTCAGGTCGGAGCTACATAGGTACCCTGTGGCGCCTAACCTCAAGGCAGCTTTCAAATAGCCCAAAGGCATGTCAATGATCATGGATGATGGCTGAGCTTTCTTCCCGCTGCTGCTGTGCTTCGCCGGCAATTATTGCCTGGTCGATTCAATTTGGGAAGATCGGAGGAGGGGAGGGGCAGCTCCACAGGTGTGAGGGGGGGGGGGGGGGGGGGGGGGGGGGACGGGAAAGTTGGGGTAGGAGGGTGTGGAAAAGGTGGTCAAGGTCGCCGAGAGCTACGGTTCCCGTCAATGTTGCCTGCTTTGCTCGGAATTCCTTGCTTACGCGCGACGGAGTCGGCGTTTAGTGGTGGGTGGAAAGGTCTGTTTCATCCATCGTGATGATAACTAGGCCTGTGGCCCTTGGTATGAACTGCTTGGGGAACGCGTTCTGTTCTGCTTTTCCCTTCCTTCTCGCCCCCTTCTTCAAGTATTTTGTCTACATAGATCTTTCTTCAGAAGGACCCATCGATCCCAATTGAGGTATAAGCAATACCAGAACACGAGTGGTGTTTCCCGTCACAATCAACAGCCAAGATGCCTCACTTTGACGAAAGCAAGGCATACGCCGTCCAGGAAGAAGTATTCTTCGACGACGGCCGCGAGATCGAACTCCTACACTTCGTGTACAGCCAGCCCAATCTCGATGAGATCCGCGGCTCGCCCGAGGGCGTCCTGAAGGCGATTGACGACTTTGGCCGGACCAAGAAGTACCTGATGAATGTGGGCGAGGACAAGGGCAAGATCGTGACAGACTTGATCGCCGAGGTCAAGCCCAAGGTGATGGTAAGAAGCAACATCTCATCTCAAAACTTGGGTTTCCGTCGCAAGTTGAGCAGACTTGAGACGGAAAATTGAACATGCAAACCATCCGAAGGCTTTGTTTTGTTGGTGTTCTGTTCTGACCATGAACGAATGATCTGAAACTTTTTTTGAGAAACCCTTTCATCCAATCTCATCTCATCTCTAACACCCACCAACAGGTCGAATTAGGAGGCTACGTAGGCTACTCCTGCATCCTCTTCGGCGCCGCCGTCCGCAAAGCCTCCCCCGGAGGCGGAGCGCAATACTTCTCCCTCGAGCGCAACCCCGAATTCGCCGCCGTCATCGGCTCCCTCGTCGACCTCGCCGGCCTCACCGACACGGTCAAAGTCGTCGTCGGCCCCAGCGACGCCTCCATCGCGCGCCTGCACTCCCTTGGTTCCACCTCCGGCGGCTTTTCCAAAATCGACCTCATGTTCCTGGACCACTACAAACCCGCCTACACCACAGACATCAAACTCGCCGAACAACTAGGCCTCGTCACGCCCGGCTCCGTCCTCGCCGCCGACAACGTCATCAAGCCGGGCAACCCGCCGTACCTCGAGTACGTCCGCAGCTCGGTGGCCGAGAAGCGCGCCGCTGCAAAGGACGTCGGCGCGGCGCGCAAGGCGGCTGGGTGGCATGACGAGCGAACGGCGAAGCAGTACGAGAAGAGGGAGGGGGAGGAGAGGTTGGATTTGTCGCGTATCGGGAACCCGAATCTGCGGTATGAGAGCAAGTTGAGCAACAGCTTTGAGCCGACTGGTGTGCCTGTAAGTGCTCTCTCTCGGTCTGGAGATTGATTGCTCTAGCTCATATGAGTGCTGACGATATTTTCATTAGGATGGTGTTGAGATTACGAGATGCGTTGGCGAAGAGAAGGAATGAAATTGATGAATTACGATTTAGAGTACCATGCCCCTGTTCCATATCTTCGGACACATCCAATAGAGCGGTCATCATATACATCTCACAGTGAAACGCCACGGTATTGGCATGTAGCGCAACAAATCCAGAAATGTATTGGATGTATGGCATGTGCAGAACAGCCGCCATTTTAGTGCTCCTTCTTACTCCTTTGGTTTGGTCCCAAGAGAACTGCTCCTCTAAACCGCGTGTTTCATGAAAAAAAGAAAATCCCCCCTAAAAAATGCTTGTTTGTCCCAGTGTTCCAACAACGCCAAACTCAAACAGCCCCCACGCAACAGAGGATAGCCGGTCTAAATTCCCAGCCAGATCTTGGATCTCTCGTACGTGTAAAAGGCGACCGCTGCCATGGGCACAACCTTGACGTAGCCAATAGTCAAGCCCACGAAGAACCCCGGCATACCCCTCTCCCGGAAAATCATGGCGGCCGTCTCGCTGATGCGCAGTCGGTGACCGTCGCCTACAGCGCCACCGACCTGCATCCGCCGGCGAATGACCTCCAAGGGGTACGACGCAGTCTGGGAGATGAGGCCGGCAACACCACCGGCGAGTAGTTCGGCCCAGGATCGCAGCGGCGTGGGCTTGCCCGCAGGCAAGTTCTCGGGCCGCGGAAGCGTTGTCCATTTGGCGAGCTTGGGGTGGCGGAGAACGTCGCCGGCCGTGTCGTGCGTCAAAAAGGACATGCCGGCGTAGGGGAGCATGCCCAGCATGGTCGGTGTGAAGCCTCTGTAAAAGTTGATCAGACCCGAGCGCGGGGCAACGGCGGTGACGGCGGAGGCGGCCGCCTCAGTTGCCGAGGTGCCGGCCGCTTGCGAGGCGGGGGACGTCCGCACAAAACGCTCGTTGTAGATCCGCCGGCAAATCGCGGATAACGAAGAACCGCCGTGTTTTGTCTCAAACGCTAACCGGACCCGAATCACCTCCAAGGGATATGTGAAAAATACGGATGTAATGCCCGCCAGGGAGCCGCTGATAAGCCGGCGCCAGGGCGTCTCTTGGTCTTGCCTCCGGATAATCATGGAGCGGATCTGCTCGTAGGCAAGAAACTTGATTCCGGCGTAGGGGAAGATGCGGAGGAGAGTGGCCGAGTGTCCTCTGTACAACCCCGTGAAGCCTTCGTGGGAGCGGATATCCTTCATTGCCGTCACGACACCGAACCATGACCCCGTGTATTTTGCGAATTGCGGACTGCTCGCCTGGAACAGGATCTTGACTCGGTCAAGGGGTGCGACAACCGTCTTTGCCTGTGATGCAAACCTGCGTCAGCTTGGCGGATCTTCCACTCCCAGGTTTCAACGCTGATTTCTTCTGCTACTTACAGCACATCCTGCCAGGCCTCCCGCGACACCAGATCGCCAGATATAGTCGAACGTCCGCGTCTGCTTCCTAACGGCTACCGTCTCGTCGTCGTCGGTCGGGCAGACGGGAGGGGCCCTCGCGTCTGGCTTCGGTCGCGCAGCATTTCGTTGGTTGTTCGGTGCTACCTCCGACATGGAGGCATGTTCCAGCAGCGCTGACGGCATCACCTAGTCAGCGCAACCCGCGAGCGCGCTCGTTCGCTTGGCTGGATGTTTGAAAGTTGTTTGGCCCGGTGTTACTCGAGAAGCATTCCGCAAGTCGTTCTTTCGAGGTGTGTGTTTCTAGGTTTTCGAGGTCGAGGGTTTCGGGGACTGGTATAGGAGAAACAAAAGGAGCCCGAGGCACGAGCTGGCACGCAAGGAGTGTAAGGATCGTGGGGGGGGGAGTGGTGATCGTGGAGAAGGTTCCAAGGAGGCAGAGCGCGGGAAGGGAAGGGTAGGGAAGGGTCTAAAGCTGAAATGCGACGGGGCGGGACGTCATAAAGGCGAGATTTTAAAAAGGCTCCCTCTCATTGCACACAACTGTTGCTCTACGGGGGGGGGGGAGGAGCGTGGCGCACGAGCGGTAAATTGGGGGTTGCCCGCTGAGAGTTCTAGTACGGAGTACAGGGGTCTGGGCCACGAGCCGAAGATTGCCGAGCGTCGACGCGGGCGGATGGTCATTTTCAACTTCTCGACCTCTACGGAGTACAGCGGGCTGTCTTTTCCAGGATCTTCTCTGCTTTACTCAGCTCCGGTCCGGGGTTAGGCCTTTGATACCCACGATACCTCCGCAAATTCACTCCATGTGGGCAGTCGAATCGGGGACTGCAGAGAACTTTTCTCACACAAAAAAACTAACACCAGACCGCTTGTCCAAGGGGGAAACCACACCAACGCAGGAGGGCCCTCGGTAGGATTGGACTACAAGCACCGGACTATTTTCTCCCACGGCCACCCCAGTTAAGCCCCCGGGTCCGGTCGAGGGGCACTTGGACTGCGCCGGGCCTCAAATCAAGCCTCCGGGGAAGACGCCCCGGGTCAAAGCCACGAGGCACACTGGCCCTGATTAAGGTGAAGAATGAGAAGAAGAAACAATTCTATCTATGGCCTCTAGCCTTTCATCAATGTCCTCTCAGGCATGCCCGTCGCCAAGATGCGTCTTATTCCACAATGAAGACCGATCCGTCTTCCTCATCGACATCCCCGCCTCGCTAGAGGGGAGCCAGTTCTTACCGGGCCAAGGTGCCGAGACAACAGGACAACCACCACAGAGACGGCTCCTCTCGGTTGACCCCGTTTCCGCACCATTTACGCTACCAGAGCCCCGGGACCCCCAAACCAACAACCAGACGCCGGCCAGCCAGCTCGCAGACCTCATGATCGAGGCAGCGGTGAAGACTGCCCTCGACACGCTAAGACGGGGCTACGACGCGCCGTTTTGTCTCCCTCGTGTGATGAGCAGCGGGAGCAGCAACGTCAGCAGCGGTCGTGAAAACAGCGCGAGCAGCCCGCAGGATCATCCCGCGCGCAAGGACGACAACGATGCTGCCGCGGCTGCGGCGCACTTTATCCCCCCAGAATCTACGTATCTGAACGGCTCGATCCAGGAGACTAGAGAATCCTTCCTTTCCACGGCGCCCAAGTTTGACCTCATCATCATGGACCCTCCCTGGCCGAATAAGTCCGCGAGGAGGAAGAAGAAGAAGACTGGCGGCTATGCCACCGTCTACGGTCTCAAGGAGACGCGCGCGCTGCTGGAGCAGATCCCCGTCGCCGCCCACCTCGCGGACGGCGGTCTCGTTGCGGTCTGGGTGACGAACAAGGCGACGCTGGTGGACTTGCTCACCTCGCCCAAGGGCGTCCTTGCATCGTGGGGCCTCGAGGCCGCTGCCGAGTGGCAATGGGTCAAGATTACGTCGCAAGGCGATCCCATCTTTGACACGGAGTCTGCGTGGAGGAAACCTTGGGAGAGGCTGATTATTGCGAGGAAACGGGGTGACAATAGAAAGGTGCCTGGAAGGGTCATTGCTGCCGTCCCTGATGTTCACTCGCGGAAGCCAAATCTCCGTTGCATGTTTGACGATCTGCTGCCCCAAGGGCACCGCGGCCTCGAGGTGTTTGCACGTAATCTGACTGCCGGGTGGTGGGGATGGGGCAATGAAGCTCTTCACTTTCAAGAGTCTCATTACTGGGTCGCATCATCTGAATCAAGGCAAAATACGACTGAGAAACATGAATCCAAAGACACCAAAACCAATTGACACTTTTTCTATATCTCATGCCATCCTTGTTGTGTGTTGTATATTGTACAAAACATGCCGATCCGCATGCTCACCACTCTTCTCGCAACTTTTTGTACACGCGATGGCTCCCCCCTTTTGTCGCCATACCTTCTCCGACAGGACAAACCCATTTACTCTTTGCTCCTACACCCGTGCCCGTGCTTCCTGACCCACGACTAATTCCTCTTGCCCTTCTTCTTCACAGGCCGATCCCACTTGCTGTCCAAGTCAACCTTCTCCTCACCCTTATCCCACTTGCCGGCGGCAGAACCCCTCAAAATTCTACCCGCCTGCTTCCGCAAGAACTTTCTCTCAGACGACTCCTTGTCCTTGCTCGGGTTCGCCAGCTTGCCGAGCTGCTTGCGGATATCGCCGCGGTACTGCTCCCGCGAGACGCCCTCGCGCGCCTCCCACAGCTTCTTGTTCCACGGCTCGAGGTCCTCGGGCGGGGTCGGCCAGACGAAGGGCTTCGTGAGCTGCACCGTCATGACCTTGGTGTTCTGCGGGCGGAAGTAGCCCGACCCCGTCGACCGCCGTTCAATGGCCGACTGTTTGACTTGCGAGCGCACCGCCGTCGTCTCGACGCCGTAGAGGTTCCAGAGGTAGTCGCGTATGTCGAACTTTGTGAAGGTTAGGGGCACGTTGAAGGTGGCCATCTTTGGTGGGGACTTGTCCTTGCGGACGAAGGTGACGACATGGTTCGGCCTGGGGATGAGAGATGTTAGCTTTCTGTAAGCGATGTTTTCGAGGTGCGTGGCGCCAGGGGGGAGGGGGGGGGGAGGCGATTTCGGGTGAAGGTGTCTGTGATTGGGAAAGTGAACGTACAAAAACACCGCCTTCGTTCCCAGCTTGAAGGACGCCGGCCCTTGGCGGGCTATCGCTTGTGTCAATGCCTCCGCCATCTTGTCGTCGTTGATCTGCTGAGCTTGAGCCGACCGTGGAGCTTCTGTGATGCGAGAATCCAAAAAGTTGATGGTCAGGATTGATCTGATTGCTGATTGGTTCAATCGGGGCTACGTATTTCCGTCCTCCCCGAGCAGTGAGGTGGGTCCAGACAGGTTCCGGGCGCAGATGCGGTAAAATTGGGTCACCGGTAGCTCCCTCAAGGTGTCTCCACAAGAGGTGGATAACTCCGACCGGACCCGCACCCGGGCTTCGACTTTCTGGTTTATAATGGGCAACTGAGCTTGATCTCATGCATCACCAGTCACGGCTAAATTCAGAGTGCCAACAGACGCACATCAACTCATCGCTCTGTTCCTGAGTGCACTAATCATTCGCAGCTGGCAGAAATGCTAAAACCGAGTGCAAGGATGCACTGCTCGTGTGTCGAGCAGATGTGGAGTCAAGGCATGTCACGCGACGTCCTGCCATGCGTAGATCTCGGACTCCGAAAGTTTGAGCCGGACAGATCAATACTCGCTCTCGCCAATTCAGTCTGTATTGCCGATGCCCAATCATGAGAATCTGCCGAGCTGCTCCTCTGCAATTGCGGACACAACTGTCGAGTCTTGGCCGCCTCATTCTGAGGTATCTTCGACTACATCGAGATGTACAAGACCAGCGGTACACTCACCTCCCTATCCGATGTTTTACCTGGCACGAGCAAATAGCCAACGAGGCAAGAGCAGTGCCGATCAAGGATTGGCCTGGTCCGTCAGAGCTCCAACCCCAGATTCCAAGACCAGACGGGTTATGTAAGGCCGCGCACAAACCTGAGTCTAATCTCCACTGGTTTATGAGGGGAATTGGGAATGCCACAGCTGGCAGTTTTTGGGATTGAGAGACGCATTCCCCCCTCCGTTGCGATACCATTTCAATCCGTTTGTTTAAGAGATGTGCACAATTCCTGCGGGACATGGGGTTGACTACAAGTGGAATTGTGACTGATTTTGGACTCACACGACGGACCGCAGAACTTGTTTCCCGAAAAAGAAGTAAGGGTGGATTGTACTAATAAACACAGCATTGCTAGCAACATGGAGACGCAATTATCCCGTACACATCTGGAAGGCTTTTCCCGTCCTTCTTACAGATCTTCGTGAATCATGATGAACTTCTACCATCCATCTGTCATGGCTATTGGTGTCTGACTTAGACATCAAGGCCGTCAACAACCACACCCTTGTTCCAGGTCCAGTTCATGTAGCGAGCGGTCTCCTCGGCCGAAGCGTCGTCGACAAGAGCGCTAATCAGGTACAGAGCGGCATCGACGCCGGCGCTGACCCCACCGGCGGTAATGACACGAAGGCCGCCGAGACGCATCGCGGCACGGCGGGTAATGGACTCGCGGCGGCCGGAGCTCTTGAAGGACATGCTGCCCTTTCTATTCAATGAGTTAGCTTTGCTGATAGTAGTGTAGATAGGAGGGGAATTTGGTAACGTACCTAGCATTAGAGGGTCGGCGACCGGAGTCGGACTTGCGGCGGACATAGGGGTTCTCGTCCTCATCTCCAAGCTCGAAGCGGAGGTTGTTCACGACGTAGCGAGCATCGTCAATGACATCAGTTCTCTCAGTGAGGTTGCGGGTAGCGGCCTCGCTGCAGAGGATCTCGAACTTGGTAATGTAGTCGGAGTGGGTAGTGGCGGACAGGCCAGCGAGGACACCCTGCTTGGCGAGGAAGAGGGAACCAGTGCAGATGGAAAGGAGAGTACGCTCGTGGGAGGGGTCCTTCTGCTGCAGCTCGGAGAAGGCCTGGATGAGAGGAAGGGGCTCGGAGTTGTTCTTGAGAATGTTCTCACTGTCGCCGCCAACAATGACAAGAACGTCAAAGTCGCTGAGGCGCTCATAGGCCTCCTTGAAGGGGATCTGGGTGCCAATGGTAACACCAGAGTCGGAGACGACCTTGGGCTCTGCGGCCGTGATGGTACACTCGAAGGCCTTGGAGTCTGCGGGGTTGGGCACTGATTAGCATGGCTGGGTCACAGCGGCGTGGCGGAAGGAGCGGGGAAGGAAGTGAGGAGGAGCTGCCCAGGAGCTTTCAGGAACAAGGTAGGTACTTACTCTTGTCCTTCTGATCGTGAAGGGCAGTAGACAAAGCCTCCATTGGGCCTGCCATGTCAAGAAGGTCGAAGTTGGGTTGCAGGGCGAACAGAACCTCAATGGGCTCGTCCGCCACTGCAGAGCTCTTGTTTGCCATCGTGCCGGTTGTTATTGGGGTTGTTCAAGGGGGGAAGAGTAAGTAATACAGCTTGTGCTAGCTGTTGGTTTGTGTTGGAGTAATTGGGGTACCGAGATGAGTTCTCGGAGAAGGTCGTTGCCTGGAATTGGGGATTGATTGATTGATTGATTGATTGATGGGATTGGATTGTTCGTTGGTGATGATGGAAAGAAAAGAAGGAGAAGAGGGAAGCTCTGAGCTATTTGGATGGAAGGAGGGAGGGGGACGGAAGTAATAAGGGTCGAGTCATCTGGACAAAGGAGGGGTTGGCAGTTGCACCACCAACCGACCTCTCCTTCTCCTTACCTCCTTACGGTTTACCTGACCTTACCATACTTGACTTCCCGGAATGTTTACCTCCAAACGCATTACACTTGAGGTGGACGTTGAGGTACCTCATCTCGCGGCATGTCCCCCTCACCCCTTGGATCTGCGCAGCTGGCCGGCTTCAAACCAAAGCAACCCCTCCTGCCCACGCGTGCTACGCTTGCCTCCAGCTCAGCTGAGTCAACTGGCCATTGAGTGAGTGATCAGGTGCGTTTCTGGAAAAGGCCACAACCCACAACAGCTTCAAGTGGTCCAATGGTCCCACTGTCTCCCGTACGTTTTCTGGGGTCGGGTGCATCGGTGGCCCACGGTGCATGGCGCTCTTTCGCGGATTGCGGGGTTAGTCTCCCCGTGAGGTCACTGGTGGGTCCCGGTACATGCCTGCAGGGCAGCCGGACCACCGAGATCCAAGTATCTCCACTTTGAACTCTCCTCGTTGCGGCGTCGCCCGCCCTTGTCGCACTGGCAATTAATTGAGCCTTGCGAGTTGCGACAGCACTGTGAGACCCAGCAGGTTAAAGACCCACAGCAACACTAAGCGAGACCAACCAGAAGCTGTGTTGCAGGCTGTTTGGCCGCGTGCTGCCGAAGAGTGGTCTTTCGTCAGGCCCCTCCCATGCCTTGTAGCGTGCCGTCCAATGATCCAACCTATCTTATCGGCCATCTACAGCGTTCCCGGCCTTGTTCGACAGAGGGTCCCCAGCAAAGCTTGTACCTTGCATCAGCAGATTCCGTTGCCGTTGCCTGACAGTTGCATGATATCGACTTGCCCACCTGCGCCCACAGACGGACGTTGCCTTGCTTTTTCGACAAGCACCTAGAACATCGTGAGGCTCGATGAAGAGTCACCGCTAAGAAAATGGCGTCGTCAGCGTAAGTGGCCAGACTTCTTCTTCGTATTTTTCCTCATTTCCGCTCAACCTTGGTCGCTGCGTTATGTGGTGCGCGATATTCCGTTGCGCAACTTACCTGCACCTGCAACTTGCGACAACGTACACGATAGACTGACAGCGAACTCACTAGGTCTCTCAAGGACCTGTCCAAAGCCTTGGCGTCCTTCTTTGCTTCGCCTTCCCTCCCACTACCCGACGATGTCGCCGAAGTCATCGATGCCTACCTGAACAAGCACGAGAAATACGAGGATTCGAGCGCCGAGAGACTACAAGATGACTTCCTCAGCATCTGGGATAAGCACGTCAAGGGTGCACCGCCCAAGTATGCCGCCTTCATCCACGTCTTCCGTCTTCTAGTACCCGCGATCCGCACGCCGACCCGCCTTCTCAAATGGTGGAACCTGCTCAACGACCCGATCCTGGAGAACTTCACTCGGGAGAAGGGCTTAATGGAAGAGTCTCACCATGCGACGCTGGAGGTTCTGATGCTGGACGCGCACGAAGAAGACGATCCAAACGAAGAACGAGTTGTGAATCCTTTTGCCAAGAGGCTCTTGTTGTCTTGGTTGGAAAAGTACTACAAGATACAGTATGAAAGTGACTTGACTGCGCAGTCCAGCGAGCGCGCGATACGCCAGGCCTTAATTACGTATGGCAGGAGGAAGCCCAAGGTACGTCAAACATTATATTTGTTGTGAATGCGACTAGTTGTCTCATGTCATGAAAGGACTTTCTTTTCACCCTGGATACGTGCTTCGTGCGGAGTGAATTCCGCGCGAGAGCCGCCAAACTGTTGTGCGAATTTGTCCAGAGCCAGCCACCGCACCTACACCTGATACTGCAGACGCCGCTGTTCAATAATCTGCTGCGATGCCTGCAACAGGACACATCGACAACTGCCATTTCGATGGCCATCACCGCCCTCATCATGATATTGCCACATATGCCTAGTTCCTTGGTGCCACATCTCCCGAATTTGTTCAACATCTATGCGCGGTTGCTCTTCTGGGACAGCGAACGGACGGGCATCATTGCGGCGATATCAGATGAAAGCGAGCAGAAAAGCCTCGCGTCGCCTTCAGGGTGGGAAACATGCCAGTACTCTCCCGAGACCGACGATATCGAGGTCCCCCATCTCGCCAATTACTTCACCGTCCTCTATGGCTTGTATCCTATCAATTTCATGGACTACATTCGGAAGCCACAGCGGTATCTTCGTCATGCGAACGCGGCCAATCTGGACGAGGTCGAAGTTCAACCAACAGAAATCAGGTACAAGTCTGAGCGATATAGGCAAAGCCATCTTCTGCATCCCAACTTCTACACTCTGACGATCGAGTCTGAAAAGACTGATTTCGGGCGATGGATGACGAGCGAACCGGCAGAAGTCGTGGCTGAGTGTATGGCGCTGCGTTCCTCCCCAGAGACATTCGCGCCTATCGAACCGGACAGCATGCAGACGGCTGAAGGCGACATCTCCCTTCTCAGCGATGAATCTGATCGAGACGGTCTCGGGCCCGCCTTGCTAAGTGGATCCAGCTTGGAACCTGGCGCCGAGAGCTGGAGAAGCAATCAAGATCTGGACCAGAACTCGAGAGCAAGCAGCCGTGTATATTCAACCAGCCAACGACAGAGCTCTCTTTCCAGTCAGCCCTCGCACAGAAACTCCTTGGAAGCCCCCAAAGCAGACATCGTCGGGGACAGTCCGACCTTGCCCCCTCAGCTTGTCCCGTCGACCTCCCACACCCATTTGCAGGACATGATCCAATCGAACAAGGCCATCAAGTCTGGACTCCACCAGTCTTTGGCCAATGATAGCGTTCCATCACTTGCACTAAGCCATCCAGACTCAGCAGCAGAGAAGGCTCCTACTGGCCACATGCCTCCACCTCTGCCAGTCATTTCTACACCGAGGTCTGTTGCTGAAGGACAATCTCAGGTTGCGCATTTGCAAAGGCAGATTCTTCTACTCCACAATGACTTAAACTTTGAAAGGTACCTAAAGCAGCAACACATGGCGCATATTGGCGAGTTGCGCCGGAAACAGGTGCGGGAAGCTGCAAGTGAAGCCGAAACGCAGAATCTGATCTTGACGAATCGAACGTTGAGGAAACGATTGGAAGACTCGAAGAAGGCCGAGAGTCAAATCAGGAAAGAGTCAGAAAAGAGCCGAACGTTGGCCAAGAAGTGGGAGTCCGATCTATCCGCAAAACTACGAACCCTGCGTGAGGAGTCGAGGAAGACCAAGACAGAGATTCAGTCTCTACAGCAGGAGTTGCAGGGTGCACGCGAGGAGAGCGAGAAGCTGAAGAAGCTGGTGTGTGATGCTGAGGTCAAGGAGCTAAACTCAAAGCAGACTATGCAGTCCGTCGAAATCAATGCTGCCGAGAACGACCGCTTGAAGGCCGATGTAGAACGGCTGTCGATCTCTGAAAGAAATCTGCAAGCCAAGGAGTCAGAAAGACAGGCGGCAATCACATCGGCTGCAGAAGCGGAGAACCGAGCCGAGATACTGCACTTGAAGCTTCAAGCGCGCGAAGGGGAACTTCAGAAGACAAAGAAGCTCTTCCAGACGCAGATTGGCGTGCTCAACTCGAAGCTCCTGGAGGCTCATGAAGGCATTCACAGCAGAAGAAACGCCGAAACCAAGGCGGCGGTCGAGAGTGCGCTGGCTGCGAGCCGGGCAAAGCAGGCTGAGCTGCAAAAGCAGTACACGAGTCTGATGAGGAAGTACACGGTTCTGCAGTCGCAGCTAGAGGAGAACCGATTCTCGGTAGGATCTTCGAATTCTCACGGCCGTGGCGACTTCGTCTTCCGCATGGACGGTGATGGAGAGGGCTCAACGCACTCGGGCAGCCCGGTCACGACCAGAGGTAGCCACTCGGGGATCCATAGGGTCTTGTCGGAGCACGACTTCCTCAACCTGACGTCGTACAATGCGACGCCGCCCATTATGTCGAAGCCGTCGACTCCGGTTCCCTCGAGCTCGCATCTCCCGCCCGTACCTTCCAGTCCGATAGAGACGGACGAGGCCATTAGCCCGACCACGACAGATCCGAGATATTTCGGCAGAGGTGAGTCTGGAACAACGGCCCGGCTTCGGCTCCGAGATGGGTTCTGGCGGATCAACTAATCGAGACTTGTTTTTCTTTTTCTTTCCAGGTGGAGTACAGAATCGACGGAAAGATGAAAAGGGGAAGAAGACGCAAGAGGGTGGTGGTGGCGGCGGCGGCGGCGGCGGAGTTAGCGACAAGAGGGAGAAAAAGTCAGGTGTGATACGGGGTATCCGTGGATACATGTGATTAGCCAGCATGAGCGAGTCTTTGGCGTGGTCGAGAGAAGACGGAAACGTGGTCCATGAAGAAAGATACCCAATCACTAAAAGTTTTGCTAGATTTGTGGCCAAGATGAGATCACCCCCGGTATGACACACATCGTTCTTCTAAGATAAATCGCTACGGGCAATCTGGTGGGTTTAATTGCCTCTTGAGACCTAGAGGCCGCATCTGGGGCATATCTGACTACTGCTGAACGAGAACAGAAAGCTCAGCTCGTGGGAAAGCTGAGCACATGAAGTAGGTACTTGCTGTTGGGTAAAAGGACAGAGCAAGATCCTACAGAGCCTCTGACCACCATGCCACCATCCAGATACAGAGCTTCTATCGACTTCCTAGAACAGTGGCGTTCCTCAACATATCAACTTTCGGAGAATAAGAAGTGCCCGGGCTGACAAAGCAGGTAGAATATACTGGAGCAGACGACATCAGCCAAAGAAAGACTCCCTGCTACAAGAATCCGCCTCGACAATTGGAAACCAGTCAGTGGTGCGCAGCCTCATTATGCAGGAGCTCCCACGGACACGGCGGAAGCGGTCTGCTCTCTGTCTCCCTCTGGAGCTTAACACACAGCCTGCCATGACTCTATTTCTTCCGGACAAACTTGAGATCATCAACTGAATTCGGTCACCTGAACTCGCTTACCCTCTAGGAAAAGGACGGGAGCGGAGGCAGGCCCAAGGGATCAAGTGAGGCTTACGAAGAGATCAAGTCTTATTGAAAGGGACTATTCGACGAACGACAGCTTTGGTCAATCGTTCCCGAGATTGATAGCCTCAGTTTCTCAGCTTTGACTCCTTGCCTAATTGGTCAGAGGGAAGGAAGCTTGGAAATTACCTCCTGTCAAGCGCAAGCGCAAAGACATTGACGCAGCAAAGTCCGCCTCACAGAATTCCATGCCTTAGAGTTGAAAAGGGGGAATACCGATCACTTCCTTCCTCACATCGATACAGTGCACTCTGCAGCTTGCAGCATCGCCACCCGTATCAGTCTTGCAAGTGCAACTCCGAGCCCCGAGGACGTTCCACCGATGCATAAGTCTTTGCTTTGGACTGCTTACCATATTGTTACTTGAAAGATGTCTACGGAGAGTCGGGTATGAGAAGACTACCGTGATTGGTCCAAACTCGCCGATTATCTCTTAGATCGAACCCGGATTCCCGAGCGCACGGCTCTTCCGCCTTTCAAAAAACGGTGGTTCGTGAGGCCCTGGCAGTAGTTTGCATATCTGTCAAGTGTTCTGTCTGAGACAGCTTCAAGCGTGGGAAGAGCTTCCCAGAGACGAACTGTTGGAAGAGGTACGGAAATGAAAGGGGGGAATCGCATCGGACCTTCATCAAGTCCCAGGTCTATGGAAGACTGAGAATTTTACTTCAACTCGTCATCAGATCTTTTTATGGTTTTTTTACTTCGGTCTTGCCGTCGCGAAAGGAACAATCTCATCATGGTAGCTCTCAGCTCGTTTTTTATTCTCGGACCTCCACTTACACGGCCTATCGACAGCAGTGCCTCGTTTCGATTTGCTGCATGCACATTGCCATCCAGAGGGAAAACGAGATAGGGCAAAAGAAGAGGCCCAAGAACCCAGAGAAAAGGACGTCCGTCTCTTTGAAGCACGAGGTCAGACCTTCTGACGTCAAAACATCAGTGGGACAAAAAAAAAGTGATCAGAATGAAATGAAGCAAGCAGGAAAGCATCCGGACGGACGGATTTCTCACACCCCCAAAAGTAACCTTGAATTTCCTTCTCCTGTCAAAATCTGGAAGGAAACTGTCAGACTAACACACGGAAGAAAAAAGGGGCACTAATCTAGGACGGAAAGCCTCCTTGCACGACATCGACATCTATACGCCATAAACAGAAGATCAAGCTCAAGAGGCACGACGACAACACCTACGAAGGGTGGTGCCAAACAATGGCGAAGAGTCCAGTCCGAACCGACGAGATCACCTCGACGACGGGTACACAGGCTCCATTGCGAAAGCCAAAGTTTGCGGATTATCTCAGGGTCTTTACTTACGCGACAAAATGGGACTTCTTTGTCTACGTGATTGCGGCGTTCGCGTCCATCGCGGCGGGCGTGACGCTTCCGCTGATGAACATCATCTTTGGCCAGCTCGTCGGCCAGTTCACGGGCTACTTTGCCAACGGCTCGACCGTTACTACGGCACAGTTTGAGAGCCTCCTGAACCGCCAGGCCCTGTACATCACGGCTCTATTCCTCGGCCGATGGTTCCTCAACGCCATCAACAAGTTCTGCTTTCGCATGATTGGCATCCGGCTCTCGTCCGCTATCCGCCTGCACTACCTCCGGTCGCTGTTTGACCAGTCGATTCACGTCATTGACTCGATGCCTCCCGGCGCCGCCGCGACGGCTATCACGGGCACGTCTGCCACCTTGCAAATCGGCATCTCTGATCGTCTGGGGACGTTCTTACAGTTCAACGGCACGATCTGGGCCGCCCTGGTCATTGCCTTTATTTGGAGCTGGGATCTCACCCTGGTCACTTCCTCGCTGATCCTGTACATCCTCCTGGTTCTGTCCTTCTGCTTGCCGGTAATTGTCAAGGGAGAGACCGCAACGACCGAAGCTGATGCTCAGGGTACCGCCATCGCCAGCGAGGCTCTCGAAGGAGTGCGGTTGGTTATGGCTTGTGGTGCTCAGAAGCACATCATTTCTCGTTACGAGGGATGGGTGCACGAAGCCAGGAGACGGGCTCAGAAAACTGCTCCAGTTGTCGCAATTCAATTTGGCCTCATTGTACGTCCTCCCCTGTTCAGATAAGTTCCCAAAGCGTAAGCGAGAGCTAACATGATTTCAGTTCTTCGGCGTATTCGGCGCTTTCGGCCTGGCTTTCTGGTATGGCACTCAGAGATACATCGCCGGCGCCCTCAGCGATGCCGGCGTGGTTGTCGTGGTGCTCATGTCAGTTATGATGATTCTGACTTCATTGGAGAGAATTTCAACACCGGTCATCGCTGTCAGCAAGGCCATGGTCGCGGCCTGTGAGCTCTTTACGGTGATTGACGCTCCTTTGCCGCCTTCTGGCACTCTGAAGCCGGAAATCGACGCAGAGGATATTGTCTTCGAGGACGTGGCATTTGAATATCCCAGCCGAGCCGGCGTCAAAGTTCTCAACTCACTGAGTTTCCGCATCCAGCCAGGTCAAAACATCGCCCTCGTCGGGCCATCTGGGTCAGGCAAGAGCACCATCGTCGGCTTGCTGGAGCGGTGGTATAGTTTGAGGGAGCAGCACGCCTTGCCCCGGGTTGTTGAGGATTCGGCGTCCGAGAAGCCGGGAGCTGAGAGCGTTGAGAGCGTCACGGATGAGTCCAAATCGCTCATTCGACCCGAGTTATCCGGCTCAATCACCGTCGGCGGCGTGAACCTGGAAGATCTCGACCTCAAGTGGTGGAGATCGCAAGTTGGTCTGGTGCAGCAGGAGCCTTTCCTCTTCAACAACACCATCTTCAGTAACGTCGCAAATGGTCTCATTGGCACCGAGTGGGAGAAGGAGCCTGAGACGGTGAAACGGGAGCTTGTTCGTGACGCATGCCAGGAATCATACGCCCATGAGTTTATCAGCCGACTACCTGATGTGAGTTCATCGCTGCTGTCTCTCCCCTTCAGTTGATTGCGCTGGGGAACATCTGGACTGACTTTGGACTTTTTAACAGGGCTATGATACGCGAGTCGGTGACGGCGGAGCGAAGCTTTCGGGTGGCCAAAAACAACGACTTGCCATTGCCAGAAGTATCATTAAGAAGCCGCGCATCATCATCCTCGACGAAGCGACCAGTGCTATCGATGCCAAGAGCGAAAAGATAGTGCAGGCAGCACTCGACAGAGTGACGCAGGGTCGAACTACCATCACCATCGCCCATCGGCTTTCAACAATCAAGAAAGCCGACAACATTGTGGTATTACAGAAGGGCCAGGCGGTCGAGCAAGGAACACATCAAAGCCTCCTGAGCGACCCATCCAGCGTCTACAGCTCCCTCGTCAGGGCTCAAGCATTGAACTTGTCAACGCCTGGAAAGTCATTGTCCGAGGCATCCACCTCTGGGCTTGATTCGGAAACAGAGGAGAAGGTCAATGGCCATGAACATTTCAGGAGTGCCGCCTTTACCGACACTGCCGAGGGTGATTCGTCTCACGAGTCCCGAGGCCTAGTCCGTAGCTTTGGCAAACTTCTCTTTGAGAGGCGAGCAAAGTGGACGTCGTATGCCGCCGTCATCTTATCTTGCATGGCGACCGCGGCCGGCACGCCGATACAGGCATGGCTGTTTTCCAAAGTCATTGCCGTCTTTTTACTATCTGGCGACGAGCTGAGGAGACAGGCGAGCTTTTGGGGTCTGATGTGGCTCGCTCTCGCCGGAGGCGTCGGTCTCGCGTACGTCGCCCAGGGCTGGGTAGGCCTGCGGCTGCAGTACTTTGTCAGCGCCGAGTACAAGAGGCAATATCTGACCGACATGCTTCACCAGAAGGTTAGCTTTTTCGACCAGGATAAGAATTCCCACGGCGCCCTGAGCGCCAGAGTCTCGGGCGACGCGAAGCTGCTGGAGGAACTCCTCGGGCTGAACCTGGCCATGTTGCTCTCTGGTGTCTTTACCGTTCTCGGATGCGTCATTCTTGCTCTCATCTTTGGCTGGAAGCTCGGTCTGGTTGCCATGTTCATCACCATGCCCATCATGTTGGGTGCAGGTCTCTGGAAGTACAGACACGAGGTCCAATTCGACAAGATGAACATGGCTGTTTTCGGAGAGAGCTCGCAGTTTGCCACCGAGGCCATTGGGGCAATCAGAACGGTCTCTTCCCTCGGCATGGAGTCCACCATCAACGCAAGATACGAGAAGCTCCTCAACGGTCACATCCTCGAGGCACGCCGCAAAGCACAGTGGACAGCTGCGCTGTATGGGTTTGCCGACAGCGTGAGTCTCGGTTGCCAGGCGTTGGTGTTCTACT